AGGGAAGACAAGCGGCATTTGTCGGGGTAGACCCGGTCATATCTGATGATCATTCACAATTATGCATACATCTTGTACCGAAATTCTATACACCCTTATCACTGATTCCTATGTCCTCCAACTCACTGTCCCATGTCGCCCGCCAGTCAAAGAAGGTCCTCTGCCGATGTAAATCACATTGTACAGTGTACAACCCTTTGACTGGCAAGTACGATGGTGAAGGACAAATGATTGCACATCGAACTCAAGATAATCATGTCGCAGATGATAAAATGTGTGCTGCTCGATCTCTTCATCTCATTACTCAACCAACGGTGTTATGGAACCAGCCTTGATCGGATTGGATTAAGATCATCAACGACGAGCTCAACATTCTCCTGGAGCTACCCATCACAAGTCGAGCAATCCCTCTCATATTTGTCAACAACCCCTCGGCTCATGGCCCCTTTTCATGGCCCGATGCTGAGACAATCACTCGATTCAACTATGGGGATCATGCTCTGACCGGACATTGCCCAAACCAAGCCTTTCTCGCCACAGAACATCGTCTCTGCGATTTACTTTCTTCAATCCAGGACACCAGACAGCCTGACTGCCAAGAAGAGGAGGACACTTTGGTTGATCAATTGTTGGATGCTTTAAAATGGGTTAATCGAGAGAAGGAAATTCAATGGGTTCAACAGTGTGGAAGGGATGACAGCGGGACTGTCTACGTGAATACAGGTGATTTTAATTCCATTTCCTCTCAATACCGTATCTTATTGCTGCGCAGAAATATTCAGTCGCCCTCAAGGGCCACAAAGTCCGTCGCTAAAAGCAGCACATCTCCTCTCTTTAATCATGGAGAATCTTTACTTTTCTCCCCATCATGCCCTCTGTGTACAACTGGCGGGTATCAGGAGCCTGCTGTCCACTACCCAAGTGTCGCTGGAATTGATTGCCTCTATTCCAAAGGATCCACGCTCCACCCACACTCAGTTCAATTTGGACCCCGTTACACACACATTTATATGTTGCCCGTCCTGCCACTGTCTTTATCCTTACAAACAAGGAGACCGCCCAGATGACGTACTTGACCCTTTCCTGTTCCATTGCACTTATGCACACACACCATCGAGTCCCGTCTGCAATACTGCACTTTGGAAGTTGCACAAGCTTGCTGCTGGCCTCGAACTATTTGTTCCTGTCAAGAAATATGCTCATCAGGATTTAAAATCGTGGCTAGGCCGAATGCTCCTGTGGAAGGGCATTGAAGACCACCTCGACCATCCGCTTACAAGTGAATTGAATGGAGTGTTGATGACATCTGGCAGTCAAGCATCTTCCAAGGCCTTCAAGACTCAGGGGGGGCACCATTCTTTCCTCCGGCGGAGAAGGAGGGCTGCGTGGTCTTTAGTCTTTCTGTGGACAGTTTCAACCCATTCTACAACAAGATAGCAAAGCAAACTGTGTCCTCCACCGGTATTTGGATGGTTCTCCTTAATTTACCGCAGCATTTGCAGTACCTGCAAGAAAACATGTATCTAGCTGGAGTAATACCAGGGCCTGACAAGCCGTCGAAGGAAGATATCTACTCCTATATCAAAGTCCTCATATCTGAATTATTGGAGTTTTGGGCACCTGGTGTCTTCTTTTTGCAGACGTATCATGAATGTCTCGGAAGGCTTTTTAAAGCCTTGCTTATTCCCGTTGTCTGCGATATGCTTGCTGCTTGACAGATTACTGGCCTTGGGGCTCCCACATCACACCATTTTTGCACCTTCTGTGACCTTGACATTGATGATCTTGAAGTCCTCGATCGTCAAGAATGGCCTGCAAAGGACCTGCAGCATATACGCTGTGTCGCTAGGTTGTGGAGGGACGCTCTGGATGAGAAAGCCCATGATATTATTTTTGATGCCTACAGGGTCAAATGGAGCCCTCTACTAGACCTCCCATACTGGAACCCCATTCTGCACACGGTCGTTGATTCCATGCATGCGTTGGACCTCAACCTCCTTCAAAACCACTGCCACAATTTGTTCCAAATAGATCCAGATCAATCTGGGAACATTGATCTAGCTTTAATCCCCGTTCCAAAAGCTGACAAAGGTATCACAATGAAAGCGCATCTCAGTTCTCACAGGAAATGTGTCAAGGCCATTGAAGAAAATGATCAGGCCACTCTCCTAACCAAACTTCTCCGACATCCTCAATGAGTTCTCTATACTATCTGCCTCGATAACAACATTCTTGGGACCGATAATCAGTTGGTGGTTGGCACCAAATGGGTTCTCGCAAAGAACATTTGCACTTGGGTTTGTCATTCTGTCATTTCACTAATGCATTCCTGACTTGTCTGGCAGCAACAGCGACCCTCATATCAAGGCGTTGAGATAGATTCTGTCTCTGACACTGAGCTAGATGGCGAAGATCTTGCTGATGAGCCAGTCATGCCAACACAAAATACACCTCTACCTCCACAGGAGGGTCTCGATCTTGGAGTAGTGGGCCGAGTTATCTGACACTTAGTAGATAGGGAAGACTGGGAAGTTTCTCGCACCAGGGCTTATGCTCAGGGATCTGCCCCTGTCTTCTGTTATATCTGTGACCTCCTAGGCTTGGATTACAGTGAGATCGATCTCACTAAACGCTCGGCGAAGCGAGCCTTATTTGACTACCTAACATCCTTGGTATGTACTATATTATACCTGTTTTGTTGAATTTTGCCGAATGCCAACATCTAGATTGATGATCATATTGATCTCTCGGAACAGCTAGAAAGCTATGTTGAAGACCGTGTACCATCTGCCAACAGGGCCATCCTCGACCGCGAAGTGATACACACTGTTTGGGATGATATGAAGCAGACCCAGCTTCCCAGCTGGGTGACACCTGCCCCCCCTAACTGGGGTACAACACAACGTGGCAAACTCAGTGCTGACAATTGGCGGGTAATTTCTACCATCCATCTTCCAATCACTTTGATTCGGCTCTGGGGCCGAGATCAAGGTCACAAAAAGGAACTTCTTGACCACTTTATGGATCTCGTTGCTGTGGTACGCACTGCCAACATGTGTTTGTCTTCCCAATCTCAGGTCCAAACTTATCAACACTACATTCAGCGATATCTTCGCAGTCTGACCCGTCTATACCCTGATCAGCACTTGAAGCCAAGCCACCATGCTGCTCTCCATATTGACAACATGCTCGATTCGTTTGGTCCGAATCATTCGCACAGCGGCCCTCATTATGAAAGATATATCAATTTCTTTCATTGCATTAACACCAATGAGAAAGTTGGTACATTTTGATTTTATTTTGCTTGCATGCTGGCTATTAATTTTTACATAGGGGAGCTTGAAATCACATTTTTAACTACTTCCATTCACCACGCAAATCTGCGCGCTTTACTCGCGGAAGACAAAGAGGCCAGGGGTCTACTCAATGATGTTGCAGGAACAATAGAGCAAATCGATTCTGAGGACGTGCGAGGCTTTCGGCTTGCATCTATTCTTAATCCTGATCTTCCTGCTGCTCCGAAACGTGCAAAGGGCGGAGCTGGACTCCTTCAAGAAAATCACTATCAAATTTTCTGCAATAACTTTGCTGGTGGGAATGCTATTCCAAATTCCGTCACGTTTTTGGATGAGGTCTCCGTCGGTGGCGTTTGCTACGGGGTATCGTCCCAACTTCCTACAAAAGCAGCTCCATCATTTTCTCTGATGCAACCTCCAACATGTCCGCCGGTATTGTCGACCACATCTTCCAATATTCACTCCCCAGACAAGGAAACAAGCACACGTATATGATTACGAGGGAGCTCATTCCTGTTGGTGTTGAATTCGATGATCCGTTTCGACAATATGGATCTTTCGGAGGATTTCTTTGCATGCCTGACCATCAGGTGTGCCGTATCATCAGTCTTGCCCAAGTGATCTGCCATTTTGCTATGACCCATCTGGTCGGAGATGGTTTCGATGGTCTCATTCACGTTCTCCCAATTGATCGGGTGCGTATTTTTTGGACTCCTTTAGCTGCTCTGCTCACAGCTAGACAGCGTATGATCGAATTTCCCTCAGATGTTCTTCAAACATGAGCTTAATTCGTGCTGGTCCATGCATATTTCAGTGAAGGCCCTTTGTACATCGATCGCAGTAGTCTGGCTTGAGGAGCTTTGTCTTGAGAAAACCCTTTGGCGGGGCGCGAGGGTCTATAGCCAGGTGGTTGAGCCAGTCCATTGCACCTGCAGATACAGCATCATAATTGTCATTCGTCTGCCAATACAACTCAAGTGGTATGAGCGATATTGGACGAAGCACTGTAAGAACTGAGAATCAGCCACATGTGCATGCAGCAGCGAGGCGGACTCTCCGACCCTGGATTCTGACTAATGAATGAGACAAGGTGAAGATAGGTGAATAGGGTCTTGGAATGTGCAAGCCCTTCGCAATAAGCCACGGTTAGGGAAGAGAGGTATGGTATGGGCGATGATAGAGAAAAGGGACGGTATAGGATAGGATGGGATGAGCTTGAAGGAGGACGTGCTGGGGATGTTTGTGAGTGGCAACAGGAGACGAGAACTCGAGCTGTGTGAGTACTTGTCTCGAAGCATGAAGCGATAGCCCGCTCACTTTAGCATCCAGAGTATGATGCCCCTTCGACACCTAGACACTGATGGCGGTGGGCTAGATGGGTGCTGGATGAATGCAGTTCCAACACATGGTAAACCGTGTGTACATTGGCATTGTCTAGCACCACTCCTAAGCTGTCAGGATCAGCTCGGAGGCAGAGGGCAAAGAGGACAGGGAACTGAAGCCAAGGGTCATTGAGTGGTTGAAGGTGGTGAGGGTTGTGGAGCTTATGGAAGGTGGAGAGCCAGAGAGACGACAGATTCGAACTTCTGTCAGGGAATGGATATTCAAATCGAATTGGTTGCGAACGAGGTGCCAACAATGTGTGACAAAGGTGAATAGAGTGTCAGTTCTGCCCAGTCAGTCCTCACTCTTCCATAGCCTTAATTCCCCTGAACTCTCCCTGTCCCATGGTCAATGCTTATACACAAACGGAATGACAGCGGGAGACTCACTAGACATTCCTGCTCTTCATAGTGCTTGCAACCTTCTCCATCCAATCTGCCCCAGCTACTGGCAATCAGCCCAACGGTCTTTCTTGTGATTGTGACTTGGAGGAGGTGCTGGACATGGACATGGAAGGAGTATCCGGTGCAGAGCCGTAATGGAGCCTCAAATCAATGAGGAAGATCAAACTCTGGTCAATTCTCAGGTGAGTGCGGGAATAATCCATCAAGACAACCCAGTCTCTTACTTACACATCCGACCAGTCTCCACCTCCTACCAATGACCATGAACAGAATTCGTTTCTGGATTTATGTTCTGGCCAACCAGACCATGGTGACTAGATACGATGCATCATGCTTGGAATCGGCGATCAGACGTGCATTCACCACAGAGTCTGTTGTTCAGGACATCCGCTCAATCCATGACGACGGCATACATGAAATTGCCATGATCTGCACTCGGTGAGTGACCTTTTCTCTCCTTTTTCTGATTGTTTGACCGTTTGAATCCAGTGCGATTGCAGGAGGTTCGACAACCTGCCCAATGCCTCACTTTACCGCCAGAGTGTTTGATGCTTTTGGTACTCAACAATACCTAGGAGGCATTCATGCCTTTCCTACCTCCTACACTGCAACACCGTCATTTCAACATCGCAATCTAGATAGTGGGACGAAGTGGAAGGAGCGCTGTGCTGAAGACATGTGGGACAGGGTGGTATTCTTACAGGGGTAGGCTGCAAAGTTCCCAGTCCATGTTATGCTCTAATTATCTTCACTGCTCTAAGGCCCGAGTATTCTGCCTAGGGAGCCTCCACTCGATCATCTGCTCTGCCCTTCGCCACAAGCATTCACCAACTATATCTCCTCGGACCCATGTTTCCCTCCAACACTTGGGCCAGCATTTCTTTGCCTTCTTGTCTATATTCCATTCCACGGGTTCCTACTCTGGGACGATCATGCTTGTGTGCGACAGGATTCAGAATGCGTGTTCCACTTACCGGTGTTATTTAGCAGCTGTGGCGACAACTCTCGTTTTCATGTCGATGGGCCTCAAGCGTATGTTACATGATTTCATTCCTACTATTGTTTGTAAGCCTTCTTGGTACACTGTATAATAGTTACATCTTTCATTGCTTTCATGTAATTAGTATCCTGCCAAGGCAAATGTATATACCCTATAAGTTAAATCTGATCAGCTTGGTATGTCACTGATCACAATATTCTCTTTGTGTGATACAGGCAAATTATCTATATTTATTCAAAATATGCCTGATCATATTGGAAAGAAAGACGAATAGAATATTTTGAAAAACCTTCTTGGTATTTTCGGAGGGAATATGGAAAAGAATATAAGAAATATGCTTCATGATATATTCTCGACATTCACTCGGTAAATATGCGCCAATGCCCACAGTGTCAAGGGCAAAGTAGATGCTCATGTCCAATAACTCACATGCTATTGACACTCTCGGAGCTTGCTCGGAGCAGACCTACCTATTTTTGCTTACCATGCATTAGGATAAAAGACTTGTTTCTCGAGCAAAACAGAAAAGGCCTACTAATGAATGAGGCTGTGTTGGCGCAGTGGTGGTGGTTGGTGGTTAAGACACAATTTTCATTTAGCGCCCGTCTAGAGGGCTTATATACCTACGCACAAAGTAACTAGAATATTCTAATAAATACTATTCTAAGTAATTGTCCATTAAGGGAAATAAACGAGAATGTACTCGAGGAGTCGGGAGACGACTCTTCGAGGGCGGAATGTCCGAGTACCAACTACTCGGTTCTATTCCGACAGGCTGTCATCACGATGAAGCCGAGCAATGTTACATTACTGGCAGTCCCACTAGATGATACGCGAGTCGCAACGAATTGAACGCTACTAGTGACATCCATTCTTGACCTTTTGCCTTAAGGATTCGAAAGCCTCAGCAGTCGACGGTGCCGAATTTCCTTTCCCAAAGTAATCTGGTAGGGCGCTACCCATATTTGCACCTTTCCGCCCTTGCACTCCTTCAAGTTGCACCACAGTTGCAAGACGGTGTAGGCATACTAGTACTTCATAGTGGATCGATACCAGTTGTTGATATTAATGAGCGGGTCCAACCGATTACATCTTGTAGATAGATACCTCTAAAATGCGTCCAACGATCGGTCATAGAAAGACCAGTTCCAGAATTGGCAATTTGTACCAAACGCGGCAATAAGTCTCAGGGGGCGCACCCAAGGCCGCCCAAGCCTAGGTCTGAACGACCAGTTGAAGAGCTTTGCGAAGCTTCCGCCCACCGTGGCTATTATTTCATTTAGACAGTTTATAGTTGTCAACCCTTTACTTTGCTGATAGTGCTTACTGCGGGAACGAAAGCCCTTCTCGTACTTTGGAACTGCCCTCAATGTGCCAAAAGGGGTACCGGAAGTTTCCGCAATCATCTTTCAAGACTCACGAAGATGAAGACACCCACAGAAGGCGGTGTCGTACGTCCACGATTGATGGTTGCATAAAACCAATGTATCGTAGACTTTGCTATAGTGTAAATCGCCCATGCAACGCGACGGTGGCAAGGAACGGGGTCTGACGCCCCTCCCTACATGCTAATTTATATTCAAGCCATCTTCTGAAGACTATATTTACATAAAAGAAAGAAAGAGAATCATAAACCACATAAATTGAGACAGATATCTCGAAGAAAAATGAGGGAATAAAAATGGTCATACAAGATCGTAAATGGGAAATCAAGCGGCAACAACCTCAAGTCTCTAATTATCAATATCTCAATACTCATCCTCTTCCTTGACCGTGAGCCCACCGCCCCATCTCCTCCCACCATGATGGCCAATGGCGGGTAGATCCATCGCATCCACACTCGGGCGAGGCCTGAAGCTCTCTCTCCTCGCCCTATTCGCCTTCGCCGCATGGCCGGCGCTGGGCACCCGTGCTCCGTACCCCGCCACCGAGCCCGAGGTGCTGCGCCCCAGCGCATACCCACCACCGCTAGTGCTAACGCCCGCCACGCCCGCCCCATAGATAACGCTGCTCGGCACCTTCCCGTGCCCGAGAGCGTGATGCGCTGTACCAGGCTTCGGCACGACCATAGTGAGCGTTGCGCCATATGTAGGCCGGGGCAGTGATGAAGCTGAGCCAGGTGTCTTGCTAGGGATCTTGGTCGGCGACGACGAGCGAAGGTGCCCTGGGGCGACGTTCCCACCTCTATACGAGCCGAGCGGGGCCCTCGCGCCGCCACTGGAAGGCAGGTATGACGGCGTCGTGCCCGCGGAGGACTGGGAGTCGCCGAGTCGTTGTCGTTTGTTCGGCACGGAATGGGTCGAGGCCAGGTGCCCGCTGGTCCTCACAGCGGGTGTCACCGCGCCAGACTTGGCTGGAGCGTAACCTGAGGACCCGACAGGCGTCGTTGCGCGTGCAGGCACAGAGCCTGCTCGCGGTGGTTTGCGTCTGTTCTCCTGATCATTCGCGCTAACGGCTTCGAGCAGTATTTGTAGGAAGCTCTCGCCATGCACGAGGAAGGGCCTGCCTGCCTGGTCTTCCCAAGCAGGTATCGACACAAGGAGCTCTTGTTCCAGCTAAACAGAATCAATCAGCTTCGAGTCCGACTTGAGAAGAATACGTAGGAGGGGTGGCTTACCCTAGGTTTCTCCTTCGATACCCTCTTCCGCATCTTCTCTTCGCGGAGCAACCGGCCGGGGTCTCGTGGGCCACGACCAGTCAGTCGAGATTGGTCAGAAGCGGCAGCGGCAAGTTCTTTCTCCTCGTTGCAGATTTCGAAATACTTCTTGACGCTTGATAGAAGAGGAGCCTTTGCCCTGCGCTCTTCCTTCAACCGTCTAATCTCGTCTTCGTGGATTGTTAATAACTCTTCCGTGAACTCATCTGTCAACGTCGTTAGTCTCTCTTGGACGGGCGGAAAAAGGCAGGAAAATGAACACACCATCCGCGAATGGGGCGAAATCTGCTCGTTCCTCCTCTCCAACCATAAGGTCGTCCCACAGCTTGATGATCTCCTTTCTGGCACTCTCCACAAATGTGCCCATCCTCTCTCTCTTGAGTTCAAGCATCCTCTCCAGCTCATCCTCGTACTCACGCACCGTCTCCTCCGTACTTCCTCTGTGGTTATCCACGAACAGATCCATATCTGCGTCAGGCACGCCTAGCCGCCTCCAAAGGCCTTCTAGCTGGTCATACATGGCCTGAATGTGAGCTTCGCGTTGGCGTTTAGTATCCTCGAGCGACGCGCTCAAGCTAGCCGCCCATGAGAGGAGACCAAGAGTCGGGTCAACGTTCTCCAAACCAATCGGAACCGTTGGGTTTTCTGGGAGGTTCTCTGAATCGACTTCTTCCACCTTGGCGACAAACCGAGCGAAAGTTTGCTGGTACTCGTATTCCGGGACTGCGGCAATGTCATCTTTGAACAGAAACGTGCTGCTGGAAGTTCGGGATGCGGGTGTCGGTGTTGAGGAGAGGAAGGGGTCGTTGGAGGAAGATGCCGTGGAGGAAGAGCCAACGGATTGAATGACGGAGCTCCTGGCTCCTAAAATAGGAGAAGATGGAAGGTCATCGAGAGCTGGAGGTACGATGCCGAGCTCAGTGTAGAGCCAGTCAATTTGAATAAATGTTGCTGAGAGTTGATGTAATCGTTTGTTCTACAACGACAACGATAAGGGAGGGTGGGGAGTACATGAGAATATTACTTACAACTTCGGCCTTGCCACGCACGAGCTCCTTCTCGAGCTTCATGAACCGTTCTGGGGTGACATCACGGTTTGCACCAGCATCTACGACGCTTTCGCCGGGGCACAGGGCGGGTTCCAGGATATCTTGGGCAAAATAGTCTGGTCCAAGCGTCCGTGCGAGAGCATTTAGACGGTTGGTGAGTGTGTTGAGTTGCTCGAGTTTGGTGTGATACAGCTGTGTTCTCTCCTATTAGTGCAGGCTCTCGCTCAATCCAATCACAAGATACTCACCTGTCGCAGTTTCTCCTGATACTCTGAAATCATCTCATATCTCTTTGGCAGAGCCTGCTCCTTCCGCAGCTCGCCGATGCTGCTCCCGGTCGCCTTGATGTTGCCGCCTAATGCTTTCGTATACCTGACGCATTGGTTCTCGATTTCATTACAGCTCTCCATCCACCCATCCACTTCCTTTCTCCGCTTCTCTATCTGCAGCTCAACACTCTCCACCAGTTGTTGCTGTAGCGTCTTGAGGTCTTCTTCGAGTGCTGAAGGTGGCAAGCCCAGTTGAGCATGGAGAGTCGGGAGAAGTTGGGTTTGGGTTTGCAGATGGGTATGAAGCGAGTTCAGCAGAGACGTTAGCGCAGCCGCCGTCGACGGCAGAGACATTGTTGTTGTGTTGTACAGGGATGATGAAGAGGGATAACGGCAGACTGGTGAGTGGCTCAGATTCAAACTTGAAGTTGGAATTCAACAGTGACGCGCCGGTTCAACACACGTGACCGTGTATCCGCCAAGCTTGGCCAAAAGTTCTCCGAGAACCCCGGACTTCTCTTCCCAACCGTCATCTTCACAAACCACTGTGCGCCTTTCTGCTCAGCTTCGAAACCCTCACAAGTCCGTCTAATATCATATTTAGAAATTAACAGTGAGTTTTCGTCGAAGAATGCACCGGAGCTCTAGATCTTTGATTCCAAGATGACCGCTGATACCAGAACGCCGGTGGCCATCGCGTCCCTAAACGACTGACAAGGATAAATACAGACTCTTGAACACGCTTTGTACGTTATGTGATGTTGTCAAAATCTACCCCCTTGTTTTCTCTACTGATACTTTTGTTAGCCCTCTATACTTCAAGCTACTATAACTTGTTTAGTGCGTCACCATCTCTAATCCACGATCAACGCTAAATTATACCGAGCAGGCGGTCCTGACACAGCTTTTTTGAACCACACTCCCGTCGAAATGAAACGCAGTATCCCTCTGAATCGACCTCAAGCGTTTCCGTCTGACTGGGAGGACACCTTCGCTGGATTACCAACCCCCATCCCTACAGAAGAGAACCTCACGCGATCATACTGGATGGACGATGAATTCTACAACAAATACAACCTCGAGATCAACACCAAGGCACTCGTATATGCCACCATGAACACTCTGAACATCACCTCTCCCGTCCCCGAAATCGTGCACAAAGGGTCAGGAAGCTTCAACAGCGTCTTCTGCGTCACCTTTCCTACCAATACCCCAGGTGCTCCACGGTTCCGTGTCGCTGCTCGGATACCCAAGAAGATAGCACGAGCACCTGGCAGGATCGAGTCAATCGTGGCCGTGACGTCGATGGCGCACTACGTCAAAGGGATTCCCGCCCCGGAGATCTATGCGTGGCACCCGGGGTCTGACAATCCTGTAGGCGCGCCATACATGCTCATGAAATGGGTGGACGGTATCGAACCTTGGGAACAATGGCATGGTTACAACAAGTCCGAGAAGACACAGTTCATGGAGCAACTCGTCGATTATCACGCAGAATTCGCTGAGCCTCTACCGTTTGCAGGCATGGGGAGCGTCTACTTCGCAAAAACGGACGATGGGAGCGACCTCCCTCTCGACAACATATCTTCCTACCGCCTCGGCCCATTCTCCAGAGGTCCAACATGTACCGTCCACCGCGGAATTTCTGCCTGGCCGCAGACAACCCCAACCTCTCTCCGACAATTCTGGGTCGAGCTCTGGCAACACGAAGTCGATTACATCACATCCACGCACGGCACTGACGAATCCACCATCATCGCCACCGAGGACCATCCCAGCCAGTCAATACAAGAAGACGTCACGCTTGGCGAATTCCTGAAGGTTGCAGACGCCGTCCGCCTCCTCATCGATAACTGCAAGCTACCCTCTCCAGGAGACCACCCAGGTTTGTACTCTCCGAGCATCGTTACAACCGACTACGCCTTCCGGAACATCAAGATCGAGCCGGAGACGCGCAAGATCACAAGTTTCATCGATTGGGACGATGTATACGTGATGCCATTCTTGCTCGGCAGTCGCTATCCGGAGGATATCTGTTTTTACGAAGGCTCAGGGGAGAGGTGGCACAAGACTGGTGCCTTTTTGTTCTTGCCGATCGACGAGGAAGGCGATATCCCAGATGAGGAGGAAGCAGTTGATGTCAAGGTCGAGGAGGCAGGCACAGAGGTGGAAGAAACAGGCGACACCGACGAGTCTAGAAGCGATGTCGGATACGACATCCCTCCTCCTAGCAAGACCCCATCAGAGGCAACCGGAGACAGCGCTAGTGAGACCGAAAACGAGGACTCGCCCTTCGAGCCATTCGAGCCCACCAACGAACCACTGTCTATGGAGCCCGACACAGAGGACTACGACTTCCCTCGTCGCGTGAGGGATACCCGACTACGTCGTGAGTACGAAGCATTGCTCATAGCACGCGATCCGCGGTTTGGATTTGAAGGGTTCTGGAAGATGAGGGAGGACCCATTGAAGATCCAACATTTGGTCACGCACGGTTGGACGGAGTGGCTGAGCAAGGCTGAGTGGATACAGGACAGGACAAAGGAGATGCACGAGATTTGGCAGCCGTTTAATGTCAAGTGATTCAAGTTGTCCCTTGATAGATTTCTTGCATCCTTTGAACCTCAACAATCAAATGGATATCCAATACTGACTCCAGCCATCTAAAACACGAGGACACTTCGATCACAGAGCATCTAGAAAGGCATCTGCCTCATCTCCGTGACCTTCCTAATCAACGCCTGGTACACCTCCTGGCTCGACGGCGGCTTCGCTCCTTCTGCGACCATGAACGAGTCCACAATCGTGACTCTGCTATCCCGCCTCGAACTATCGGGTGCGCACTTGAGGATGACGAAGTATTGGTTCGTCTTCATCTCTTTCTTCGCCTTGCCCGAGCCCTCGATTTTCTTGACAGCCTTAGCCATCCCAAAGGGGCGACAGTGTGGCGCGCGCGATGTACCGCCCGAGTGGAACTTGACCATGGCGCTGCCGAAGTCGGCGGCTCCTTGTTTCTCGCCTTGGGCTAGCCATTCGAGGATCTCTTCTTTGGTTGTCTGTGGTGAGTGATCTTTTTCGTCAGTTACTTGATAAAGGAACATGGTCGCCGTACCTTGCCACGGGCAAAGATTAGATCCTCTTCGTCGTAGGCACGAGCGGCGAGCTGGCGAGCACAGGCAACCTTGACTACAAGTTCCCTATGAGATAAATATTCTGGTAAGACAAGACGTATAGAGCGCGACCTGATTGGGTTCGTACCTAGCTTTGTATTCGGCATACGCCATGTCGCGCGACTTGATGAGTCGAGACAGCGCGACATTGACAGCGGCGACACCAGTAGCGGAATATGGAATGGCTGAGACCGAAGTGGCGGCCACGATGGCGGCCAGGACGACGTGGAAGTTGAATTTAACCATTTTAAGAATGCAAAGAAAGTAAGGGGGTGAGATGCGAGTAGTAATTTGTGTTAGGTGAAGAGGTTTCGAGGTTTCTTAGTGACCAGCACAAGGGATTTCCTCGGCCTGGCATCCCTGTGTGTGCGATCTACCTGATCGTGCGCCACAATCGCCAAATACGGTGAGTATGGCGATCTTGCCCGCATTACCGGCACCCTTCGAAACGCAGCACAGGAGCCATCCTGATTCTCACAGGGATAGTAAATATCGCAATAGCCACTGAAGAACAGAGAAAATCTGACTGTTTCAGATCAAGAAGTGTTGAGAGATGTGATTCTTTTGCAAACGCAGACATCACCAGAAAACGCAAAAATAGTCCTACGCAAAGGGCCGTCCGTGCTGCCCAGATTGCTTCTCGTATCCCCTTGGCGTGTTCTGCTCATCAACTCTAGAAGCCTCGAGTCGATACCCCGGTCCATCGGGTCAACCCGTCGGGAAGACCATGAAAACTTGATGACAGCCTGACGGTCGAGCACTTCCTCGACCTGGAATTATGTTCTATTGCCTCAAACCTGTGCGTCATCTCATTAAAGTTGCTTAGTCGTGACGCCTCAAAATCTGTCTGCAAGTGGAAGATAATAATATTCGTGAAAGGTCGTAATGGTAGTATACAAACATAACGATCGCATCCCAATGCTTACAAAATGCCTACAATGTTATCAAATATTAAGACAGAATCCTAGAGACGTACAACACTCAACCATCAGGCATCCAATCAATTCACCCTGGCACGAGTCTGGTTTGTGTCCTTCAGCACTGAAATCTCGACGTTGGGCACAATCGAGTGTCGGTTTGGGGTCTGTACGATGAGAGAGCCGTACTGGCCCCACCAGTCCTCCACCTTCTCCGTCGCATCGTGAGCGAAGAGGACAAACTCGTTCCCCCAGACTTTCATGAACATCGCCTCGTTCATATGCTCGTCCTCATCCTGGATCAAAGTCTGGCGCAGGAGCGCGTCGCGCTGTTCCCGCATGGGACCTGGGCTTGCCTTGAGCATGGCCTGGTGGTGTGCGTCGTACTGCAGTGCAAAGTTAGACCGCGGCAGCCGGATCTCGTCGTAAGCTGTCACGAGTCTTGATACTTGGTTCCTGTTCTGTATTCGTCCGAATAGGCAGCCGAGTGTTTGCGCGTCCTCCAGTGCCAGGGCCGTACAATGGTGTCCGCCGGGCTGTGGTAGGTGACAATTAGGGTCGGATAAATCCAGTCGGATAAGTCTTGTTACTTACCACTAACGAATGGGCAGCTTCGCCAACGAGAATGATTTTGGACGTTTCGCTGACGAGGCTATCCAGTTGGCCTCGTGTCCTTACGACTCGTGATGAAACATTAGAGGCGAGATCAAGGAGCTTCTTCGCTCTGCAGGTGATATGCCAGATTTAATAAGCTTTCTGATTTGTGGCTGGGAGGGTGACATACCTTGAATCCAGTTGGCTGAAGTCAATTCCGAATTCAGTTATATTGGACTGTGACCTCCAATCTTTGTCGCACTCGCGGACGGGTCCAGCATAATTGTGCACAATCGTAACGGTATAGTCACGACCTTGGTTCTGTAATCCGGTAGTGAGGGACATGAAGGAAGCCATACGCCCCCGAACGACTCACCAAGACATTCGCATGAACCACGTATCCATCTCCAAGCCAGAATGCCCACTTCCTCGAGGTAAGTACTATGTATAGGCAAAAAGATAGAAGCGCTCACAGTTGACGGATTCGTAAGTGGCCGCAAGTCCTCGTCCGCTCTCAGTTGATCAACAGGGATAGTAAACGCCAGAATAAGGTGGTTCTCCTCATCTGAGCGATTTACCTCGTGTCCCAGTGACGACCGAATAACGCTTCCATGGCCATCAGCGCCGATGATAACGTCTCCGTACAGTCGCTCCCCAGTTTCCAAGACTACAGACGCTGAGTCCGGGTCGGCGCCTAATACCCGAGTGTTGTATCTGAAGGACACTCCCTCTTGTTCCGCCAGTTCATGGACGAGACTTTGTAGTTTCCCATGCTGAAAGAGAAAAGGGGAGTCGATAAGCTCGCTTAATTGTCGACGTGAGAAGGTCTCTCACCTGCACGAACAGAAAGCCAGCTACAAGGTCTTTGATGAAGTCCTCATGGATAACCATCGATCCAATGGTATCCCCAGACTCTCCAGAGTAAAAGTTGATTCTTGGGACTGAGTTAGGCCTTATGAGACCTCGTCGTAGGGGCTCACGCGCATACCTTGTACATTGCCGCGCAATGTGATCCAATGTTGGCCCCAACCCCCACTGATTCAGTAATCTTGTCAAGTTTGGTGGTGATCTGGAACTATAGTCAGGACATAAGCCCTAAAGCCAAACGGTGATGGCTGACCGAAGACCACCCGTACTCTATACACACAAGTGAGCTACTGATTCCGACACGAACGCACTGGTAATGAACTCACTCTCGCCTTTCCGTCGCCTTTCTCGAGAACAACGACTTCATGTCCGGCTCTGCTCAATGTATACGCAGACGCGAGACCTGTAAGAAGCATGTGTTAACACGGATCTTCTGGAAGCACCAATGACAGAACAGTCGCACATACCTGCTAGTCCACCTCCAACCACGATGAACTTGAGAGCGACACCAACTTTGTCTTGATTCTTCATAATATGACCAGGCATATCCACTGGCTTTGGTGCGAGAGGAATGCGAACGATGACGGGTAGAGAGGTAACGAGGACAGGAAAGAGCGAAACGCCGCCGACCGGGGTATTCCAGGCTTTTTGTACGCTATGGGAAACATTCTGAGCCTTCTTTCTCCATCCAATGATGCATCACCTCATCAAGTCTCGACGCCAGTGGGAGCTTATATGATTACTTTTGTCTCCGACGCACACGTGAATCGCCCTTACATACGATGCGCCCAAGACTTTCGCATCATTGCTCAGGACGCCGTCCATGCGCTGTCAAAGAAGTCTCCGCAGAACGACATCTTCTCCCGACAGAACAACAGCCGCAGTTCAGCATAATCAATCGGTTAGCACATAGAGCGTAAGCAAAGAGAGGCTTTGAATAACCATCTCTCAGTACCTTGGTAGCTTTGGATAAAGCACTATTTGGCCCTCGCCGAGGTCGGAAAGTCATTTCGGCCGATGCCGGCCGGCATCACCTCAACTCCAGATTCCAAAAATAACTCTCACACTCTGGCATGTAAGTTACTGCCTCTTCAGACTGATATGTATCGAGACACAGCTACTCCTACCATACGGTGGTATGTCACTCGGGGAGGGATGTACAGCACAGAAGATCATAACCTGATATCCCCAGTTATACGACATAGAACTCTTAAGACCGCCCAAGTTGTATTGCATCCTTGCTCGTGCAGTAGTACTCCAACGTAGGTCTCCGAAATTGCCTGCCATCTCACCAATGAGCTACTCGGCTGCGGTGAAAATGCAGAAGGTGATTCATAGGAGACGAGTTCGATGCAAGGCACTCTGCGGCTCAGCCAAGGATCGTCCTTTACAATGTTACCACTTGCGGTCTACGAGTTGAGAGGTCAAATACGTATTCGCCGATTGCGATGCCACCGGTGAATTCTGCATCGAGTGGCTAGTACTCAGAAACGGTCTTCTCATCTATCTCAAGACCCACCTCACGCGCCAAGAGCTGCAACGGCAAGGAAGAGCGCCCACTTTCAGAAGTTCCTCTCATAGATGAATGACTTGAGGGCATCGATGGCCGACACTTCTCAGGAGCCAACCAAGTTTTGCCGCATCCTCGTAAGGAGGAATGCACACTTTCATGTTCGATTTCCATGCCATGATACTTATATACAAATGCTAATGTCCTTCGGGCTTCGTATGTATGGTACACGGGTCCCCCGACCCCCTCCATTCTTGTACATATTTCTTCGTCATCCATCCTGACAACAGAATCGTCGCTTTTATCCATAATCCTTATTTCACAAGCGTTCTAAGTATCCTCACAGCTCGTAATCATATTTTTGACGACTTCTTTCGCCTGGTGACGGTCCTCCAGATCACGGCATGGCTCGCAGCGCCCATGAACACGACGATCTGTCAAAGAGTTTGATAGATGGTGTACAACCAGCCGTCTACTGTTCAACGCCGCTGCCTCGAAGCTTAAAAGAGAGATCTGGACGTACCGCAGCGAAAATCAGCGGCCGATGCCAGATGCGATGTGAGGTCAGCAGAGCGCCAGCGATGGGGTTTCCAGTGAGCAGCGCAAACGCAAGCGTGAAAGAGAGCATTCCAATGCGAATGCTACAAAGCCACGGAATGAGTCTGTGGCCAAGCTTTTCAAGAAAGGAAAGACGTACCCCAGGTCAGACAAGTCCCGATGCGTGATGAACGATCCGACGGCTGGCGCAGCTATGGAGATACCTGCGCAGATAGCATTGTAGGCATCATCATAAACGCCATACAAGGTCAGGAAAATTCTCGGTGAACTTACAGCCTCCGGAGAAAAATCCATAGAAAATACCAAAGGCCGTCACGCCAGCGACGCTTGTAGCGCCAAAGAGCGCGAAAATCAGGCCTGCCGAAAGGACCGACGAGGCGATCATAACTTGAAACAACGAGGGCCAGATTCTGCATTTTACATTTTCTCCAACGAGGCAAAAGGCAGGCGCGCACCATTCAAGGGGCCGTAGGCGTCCGCCAGCAGGTTGGGCACCGTCCTGCCGAAAAACGATGATGCGTTCATGATCGTGATCTGCATTCCAGACGAGTCGGGTCAGAGGCATTCGAGCTGTGGCGCAAACGCCGACATATGGAGACTCACAGAGTACTTGGTGAAAACTGGGTCCACGCCGTGTAGTACGGCGTACAGTTGGAGGTAAAAGACTGTTCGTTTATCAGCAAGCCGCTATCTCCTCGGATAGCAAAATACTAACGTACATGGCACGAAGATGCCCCAAAATACCTGAATACAGTGCCAGTGTTATGAGCCAACGGCGCGTTAGGTGCAGCTTTCGCATACCAAAAATGCGCCCAGCATATACATTAGGAATGGAACGTCAGTGAGAACGCTCCTAAATGTGGCCCCGCCACCGTCTGCGCGCTTCTTTTTTGGCGGTAGTCGTGTTCGCATAATCGAGTTGGCGATAATTAAGAAACCCAGGTCCATAAAAGCCACAGACCTTAGGAAAAGTGGTCAGCAAGTACTGCAGACCCTGATGGCTCCCAGAATCATCGTCGTGCGTACCTAACTCCCCACCGGAACCCGGTGGCTCGCTGGAAGACGTTGTTCAGAAGGATAGGATACACCACACCACCAATGCTTGATCCTGTAATGGATTGGTCACGCATCCAGAATAGATAGAAGGTGTGTCACCTGCGACTACGATTCCCATAGCTATGGATCGTTTGAGGCGAAAATAGTGCGACGTAATAGTGAGAGACGGAAGGAACATGAGTCCCATCCCCAGGCCCATTCCTATCCCCTGTGATAGCACATACTGGTAGTAGTGGTGCGGCTCGGCCAAAGAAAGCATGAAGATACTACGCCGGGCAATTAATTAATGTGCAGAGGTAAGATCACACAATCATACTTACGAGAAGATGTAAATGGCGGAACCTGCGAGGAGAAGGTGGTGGAAGTACCCCGCATCAAAGAGGTGTCCAGCAGGCAAGCCCATCGCAAACACGAAGAAGACCTGCAAGGATCCAATCAAGCTGATCGCTGAAGGGGAATGCTCGGATAGGGCAACCCTCTATTGGGCCGGGTGTCATTTGACGATTCAAGCGGGCTTCGCACGCACACAATGATATGCTCACCGTGTAATAGTCTTGGTAGACCCCAAACGACTGCACCACGCCAAACGTGCAGAAGGTGACCATCGAGCTGCCGTGCGCGATGGATGAATGAGGTGCATCGCAGGGTGCAGGGGGTGCTTACCCTCCCAGTACGGTGAGCCAGGCGCGCCATCCGCCCTCAGGGAAATCAGGGATTTGCACTGCATTTGACGGACCGGTGTCATCGCCGTGGGATTTGTCGACCACGTCCACGTTCTCCTTGGAGGATGTGGTCGACCCTTGTGGCGCAATCGAACTGCTGCCCCGACTGGATGTGCCAAAGGGCGAGGACTCCTCGTCTCTGGACGGGCCCATTATGGTGGAGAAGGAAAGAGGAGAAGAACGAGGGGCGTGTTCGATAGAACCAGGCAGGACATGTTGTCACCTTGAGCACCTATTTCCCATGTCTGGGCCGAAGCTGGCCGGCGAGCAGTCGCTCTATATTTGTCTGCCTAATCCTGTTTGATGAGCGGTATATTTGGCGTGAATCCGCACTGATGGTGATGCGGTGATGAACAGGTGGACAGAAAACCGAGTTCTTGCTTCGAAATCTCTGATATTCAAACTTGAACACCACAACCACATCACCTCAAGGACATGACGGTGTTTGTAAGTTGTCTGGACGCAAGACGACAATGCAAGAAAAGGCACGCCTGAAACGGCCCTTCCAGCCTCCTGTCGTGTGGAGTGCATAGAACGGAAATAGAAGGAAGTCAACTTAGCGAGTGCGATGCAGCTCTTCTTCAAGCAAAGTCGCTTGATGGATAATGCTGCGAAAAAAACAAGAGCCCGTACATGTGGGCATTTTGCCATGCGTCGGGGGGGCGTGTAGCCTCCAGTTAATTCATCGAAATTGCCCATGGAATTCAAGCAGGGTCCTCATTTATCTGGACGTTCGTAAGCTCCATTTTGCGCTGCAAAGAAGGCGAAAAAATCGCACCTTTTTCAAAAAAGAAAAAGAAAAAGCTCCCTACTGTCCATGATTTCCCACCCGTTCTTGTCGTGTTCACGGGTTCAAACACGTGTAGGCGCCCCACGTCAATAGAAACTAGTACGTCTGCGCCGACTGTCATGGAAGTAGAGAGCAAGTTGCTCATCGCTGCCATTTGTTTGGCCAATTATTTGTGATTGTGGCCATTGATGGCGCGCCCGTCGATAGCCATCTCCCTCTCTTACCTCCTCCCACCATCGCACGCATCGACTTTCCACGCACGCCTCGTTATTTCGCAATGAATTCGCAGAGAAGGCGTCTAGTCTTCTCACCGGCACGAATCGGCTCTTGCGCTTATTTTTCACCATGATGCAACTAAGTTGCTCGGTCTCTTTCGTATGGCAAGGTTCTTGGAATCCCAATGACAATCTCAATGCCCAGGATTCTGCGGATGCTGGATTCCAGTCTTACGGTACTCCACCATGATGCTCTACCTTCACCCGCTCTTACACTCAAAGGTGAGAACGGCCGGTTCTAGGGGTTTATACCGAAACAATCGGGAATGCCTCTATTGTGGCGATACCGAACGTGGCCGGCTTCCCTTGCAAAATCTGTGTTTTCATTCCGGCAGCTATGATTCGCACTGAACGTTAGAGCAGATCCAGCCTGTTTCTGGATCTACCTGCGCTTCAACGACCAATTTGCCGTACGCTATCGCAGCTGCCAATCTCCCACATATTCCCCGCAATTTCGTCCGCCGTACGCAGGCACCGATATTTCTATTTTTGTTCCCCATTACACCCTCACCGGCTATACATGATACGAGGGTTCAGACGCGTTATTCCTTTACCGCCAACGTGACGCTTACTTCCCAATGCCGCAACTTTCCAAGTCCGAAATCTCAAAGAAGATAGCACAAGTTCAAACTCTTGTGGATATTCCCAGAAATGGGCCTCGCGACACACATAAAAAGGCCTCGCCTCAGTCTCCAATCGACTCGGAAAAACAACCCCTTTCACCTTTCGCGCCATGGACAACCAACTCTACTCCCATCCTCTTTTCAAAGCAAAGACCGAGCTTCTTTCGACTGACGAGCGCGTCGCCATAACTTATCAACGAGCCAAGCTCGTTATGCAGACATACCGTTCGTCTAAGGCCATTCCGTGCAACCCGCGATGACGCTCACGTTTATTTAGGACTCACCGCCCAGGACGTGCAATTTTGTTCCCCGAGGTTTTGGACGATGATGACTGATCCTATCTGCTCACTGGACATCGCCATGTTCACCATCTTGGCGGCCCACGTTGGCCTCACCATCGGAACCCTGTCGCGTCACCTGAAGAATCGGCCTGACCTGAAGCCCTTGGTGCAGCGGCTGCTGCGTTTCGATACCGTCGGGATCTACCTTCTGACTGAACGGGGGCATGGTCTCGACGCCTTCAACATCGAGACGACCGCCACGAAAACGTCTGATGGCTATATTCTCCACACTCCACGCGAGGAAGCAGCCAAGTGCGTCCTCACCAATGACTGAACCCTCTCCGCCTATTTTGACAATACGTCCCAGGTTTATGCCAGCTTCCACTCCGTCATTCAACATACCGAAGGTGGCTCTAGTCATGGCGCGTTTGATCGTCCACGGCAAAGACCACGGCTCACGCTTCTTCATCGTCCCAATCTGCGATGAGCGCGAAATGTACAAAGGCGTCCATTCAGTGCGGCTTCCCCCTCGAAGCGGCACCAATCCTCTTGATTTCTCCATTACGACCTTTGATCACGTCCACCTTCCCCCCACGGCCTTGGTTGCGTCCAATATTTTCGATGTTGCCAAACCCTCGCGTCCGCTGGAAGCTTGGTGGGATGAGATATGGCGTATCCAGCTTGGTACCATGGCCGTTCCCGCTCCATGGATCTCAGCTATCAAATCCGTCGCGTACATAGGAGGACGCTACTCTATGCACCGGTCTCTTCTCGGCAAAGGCAGTTCTCCCACGCCGATTATCACCTTCCGTACGCAGCAATGGCCCATCGCACACGCCACCGCGGTAGGCCTGGTACTGGGCAACTGGTTCCCGCTCGCCATCCGGCAGGCGATGGAAGGAAGCCGCGACCATCGCGTGCGCCACGCCATGTCGGTCATCATCAAGACCACCGTCTGCCGACACTTCCAGCGGTGTGTAGCCGAAGTTGCTGAACGTTGCGGAGCCCAAGGGACCTTTGAGCATAACTACATGGCGAAGACCGAAGTGAGCCCACCTTCTTCAATTCATGCCGATCTTCCTTTGACCCCTTGCCTTCAATTAGAACGACGGAAAGGGAGTGATTATTGCGGAGGGCGACGTCCTCACCTTGTGCATCCGCCTTTTCTCGGAGTTACTTCAACATCACTTTGAAGTCCCCCTCCCCGATCCATCTGAATCGCTTCTCGCACGGCATGCCGCGTCGCTTCTGCTGGAGAATCACGATCTCTTTGCGTCAATGAAATGCGAACATCGCAGCGAAGAGTTCAACTCGTTCATCTTACCCCAGTCCCAACCCGTCGTCGAGGCAATGGGCCATGCGCTCGCCTACTCAGCCGGGCTCAAGGCTGGGCTCCCGCAACCTGTTCTCGACGTGTACGAGTGCGCCGTCATCCGACAAGACCCCGCTTGGTACTCAGAGGAGGCGCGCCTTACGCGGATGGCACAGCGCAGGCGTGAGGACGCGGCGCTCTCCTCTTTCATGCCTCATCTTGAGACGTTCCTCGAGCGGCTGGACATTGCTAAATATGTCTCTGCCCCGATTGTTTCTGACAAGTCGTGGAAGCAATATGTGGAAGCGCTGCCTGTGTTCTCGGGCGCCGCTCATCCGCAGGTGGAGCCTTTACAGGCCGTTTTATAGCTCCCAATCGCTCAACGAGTATTACCGTGGTCGTCGCGAGAATTCATATGGTACCTCACTGTAACACGACCTACGACGTGACTGGATAGTAGACTCTTTGGCTTAACGATGTCATGAGAATGGGTATATGATTAAAGTCTTTCTGCGGATCTCTTATCAGTATGTACTATAGGTTGCATAACTCTCGGGGTCGAATAAATTCCTCACCTTCTAGATTCAAAGCATTGTCATGACTTTGAGATAGTAAGACATCCAACTAATAACGAAAGACGCTGAGTCTTGGTCATATCACCCTAGAATACAACTCTGTGCTTCTCTTCTCTTTCATCTGTTGGGTTAGGTCAATGGATTCTCTGCATGTGAGCGACTTGAGAACGGCGGGACTTGAAGCTTGAAGGACCATACACACTTGCAATGACCAAGCCATAGACTCAGCGACAGGTCTCGAATTCCAAAGACTTACGAGAGAGATTTTCGTTAGCACGGTTGGGCTAATTACCGGGTTCACGATACTTTGAACTTTGACATATCAAAATAGTTATATACCTTTCTTCTATCAATTGAAAAATGTCACCATCCATCGGCGACCGCGTACAACGAAACCGCAGGACTGTCAAAGACCCGTGTGGTCTCTCGTTGTTATAGCGTAATCGATACTAATAGAACCCACTGCGCGGCGCACAAAATGCGTAAGGTAGTCCGGAACTTACGCTCTTCATATACCGCCTTCTAAAAGAAACAGCGCTGCGTAGGAATCGGGTGACGCCTCGACTGGGTTTTGTCCGACGAAGTCCCTAATCTTGCACTGATCAAAGACGATCGCCTAGGGTTGCACTGATCCATGGTATAAAAATAGCATCTCTGCTCCAGCCCTGTCCCCGATGTCCTCACCTCCCAATTCGCAGAGCTTCGCTTGAGAAATTTGAATTAATGTGTTCCTGCTCCGCAAATACTTTCCCATGCAGGTGGTGTCGCTCACTCTCTCCCAGGCTGGTACTATCAGTGTTGAGAAGACTTCTGATTCCGATGCGGGACCGCTGGGCCCGACGAGTGTCGGATGACGGACTGGGGTAGACTCTTCTGGTAGTGCTATCGCCTTGGCCGCTTGAATACCGCGACTAGATAACGACTCCTCTCGGACACGCAAGTAAGACTCGTCTACCACAAAACGGATGCCATTACCACGGCGGCCGCGTTAGAAGCTAACGCCACCCAAGGTTACACGCAAAGCCTTCCATTCTGATATTTCTCAGTATCAGAAAACAAATAGCCTCTTCCAAGTTCGGCGCAAGTATCCACGTAAGTTGTACGATGAAAAAGCTTCTGGCCATGTGAGCTATTTTGGGCCAATCTCGAGACCTGTACCGAGATATCCAGGCTAACCAGAAGGTACTTGACGGCGTGATGCGGTGTAGGGTTTCTCGGGAACTACAGTCCACGTAGGTTAGGCGTCCCAAACTCCTCAATTCCGTGCGGTTCCAACCGTGGTGCCAAATCCTCCGAGGTCTGTGCCTAGCTAGCCCATTTAAGCCCGGTCACCAGTCGTTCGAAGTGTTCCAAGACTTGTCTCCTTGGTGCATCAGCATCAAAAGAATACACCCACTTCTAGACACAGTCGGAAAACCTGAGAATATGGGAGCTGAAGATGTCGAAGTATGCCCGCAGTAAAGCCTAACATGCCGATTTTTACGCTTCTCGTACAGAAACGGAAACACTGCGAGAGGCCTGAGACCTCTTGTCCTGGCTACCGGTCACCGCAGAATCAACTCCCTGTACACTGAAGCACCCGGAAGTGAATTCACGAACGCGTTGCAAAGGACGCGTAACCCCTAATCGACAAACTCTCAAACCTTGAGCTTGAGGTTCAGAAGTTTTTTTTTTGGAGACGTCTCGTAACGCCGAGCATAAGGACGAACCATTGAGCCGCTTGAGCGGAAAACAAGGATACATAACTGTTGGAGGATCAAAGTAAAAATATAGCGCCAAGGAAAACTAGCGCACGGCCAAACCTATCTCGTGGTTTTGGCGGCAGCAGCCTCCCTTAGCTGCTCGAAAAAAGACCTCACATCGGCCTCGCCCACTATTTTGCCGTCCTGAGCGAAAGGGCGAAGGAATTTGACGAGATCATCCCTAATAAGCAACGGATGAGTATGGGCAACCCATTTACTAAGAGTCCGAGAGGAAAAAAGGGTTCATATCCGTTTCACGAACGAGAAAATTGCACACTCGAGCATCCACATCCCATCCGAGCACTTGCTCCGAAGAACGCGCTTATCGTGCACCATCCATTAACACCTGCCACGAAGAAAGTGATAGTCATCCAGGAGATGCCGCACGGACGATTAGCTACGAAAAGCAAGTCCTCAACCGAGGAAAATAGGAACTGAATGCCATGACGAAAGTGGCGCCCACGAAGACGGGGAAAACGAGCTCGAGACAGACGTCTACGGAAACCCATGGGGACACAGACACGCACAAAATATGACAGGTATTAAGAAAGAACGGCCGGGGAGGGGGAAATTTTTTCGACGCAAGAAAGATAGTACGCACCTCATCTCGTTAAACGCATGTATACCGTCAATCGCTCTATCGCGCGGAATGCGCTCCAGCGCCCGCATTCCGAGCTCCTCCAGCGAAAGTCCTATTGCGTGTTTAAATTACAGTATTCGTAGCCAAAACGAGGCGGGGGCGTGTTCCACAAGCCCACAGGACAAGGAGTGACGCACGCGGTCGGCCATTTGGCGTTATCAGGTGTGCAGGATCGATATGATTGACAAAATTGACACATCGCATCGAATTATCGGTGGGAGATGATCGAGCACCCAAGCAGACGATAGCGCCATGACCATTGGGGATGAAAGGCGTTTTGGACGGTTGACGTTGGTGGTGCGTGTTTGGCCAGGTGGGGATATGTAGCCATGGGTTTGTTTGCGTGTAGATCATTGTAGATCAGCAGCCATATCGCACATTGTGCCGCGTAGATCACCGGTCCGCAAATGCACCCATTGCAGCCAAATATTCGAAGAGGTTGAATGGTAGATGGTGAATGGGGAAATTAAGGAGGACGCAGTGGGAAGATGAGAAGACGCGAAGGGAAAAAGAGATAAATGAGTTGTGAATGGGGAAGGGTAGAAGTAAGAATGGCAGGATACAATCCCAGTTAGCCTCGAGGAGGGAATCCCAGAGAGAGAGAAATACTGACCTGAATCTGGATCCTCCGGGGGTTCGTAGGTTTCCTCGTCCTCGAGGAGCCATGGCTCGGTTTGGAGAGGCGGCAGGCACTGTACGCCAGAAGGGAGTTAGTACTTTGCATCAGAAGGAACACGAGATTTTGATGATGAATTATAATTGAAAGCAGGGAAGCCAGTTAGAAACTTAGTATTTGCGATAGAGAGGCAGAAGGCATTTAGGTGGACAGCTGAGTGGCACGAGAGCATGTCACAATGTGTGGGGTGAGAAGAGCAAGAAGACGGAGACAGGCTCAATGAAACGATAGAATGAAGAACGCACTGAGCTACATCGACACCAGCGCTCACGAAAATTGAGTGTGAAGAACACGTCACCGGCGCCTAACGACTGAGAATCCTCGCTCCCGGCGTTCTGGAGATTCTGAAGGATTATGCGCGCCAGAGGTGGCTGAGGAGGGGCTAGGCAAGATGCTGACAAAGTTGGGGTTGTATTGGCGTCAGACTTGGAACCCTCACCCCTAGCCCGTTTGGCGTCCCGGTCTTCTCCATCGACGCCCAAAGACGACGACGGTCGTTTAAGTCCGGATTTCGCGTCAGACTCTTCTGCAGCAGGATCCAAGTTAGATTCAACAAAATCGATCTCTACATCTCCCGCCTCCGCGTGCGGGTCCTTTGTCTTTGAGTGTGTAGTGGTATATTGCGCTTCTCCATCCAGACGTCGCCAAGGTTCGCCCGGCGCGTCGCGCACGACCATTATCGCACCGGAGGACCCTGCCCAGCGCCGCAAGGTGGGGTTGCGCAGGACACAGGAGCCACAGACGAGGGATTCGTATTCGTCACCGGAGATGAGCGGTGGGGGCAGCCCAGACGAGGACGCTTCCGAGGCAGCATCATCAGCATCATCGCTACCCGCATGACCTAGCTCCTCCGACGGAAGGGCGTCCGGAGCATCAGGGCTGCGTTCGTTCGCTGGTTGTTGATTAAGTTTGGATGAAGGGGCATCTTCGGTGTGAGGAGGACGGCCTTCTGCTCCTCCAACTTCTTCGGCCAAGATCTCGTCCGGCCTCTCTCTGAGGTTACAGCAGGATTCGTGAAACCAATCCTGGAGCGGAGTTGCCAAATGTGAGCGAGCGGAGTATGGGCAGTGGGAATTGGCGCGAGGCAAGCGGACAGGGATTACTGACTTCGCATGCAAGACACTGGATCATAGTTTCCGTCTCCACGTTCGGATCGTACGGCCTCCCACACCTGCAAAAGAGCGCGTTGAAATTCTGACCATATTGGTTTCGGGTATTGGCCTCTTCGAGTTTGGTATGCAGCGTGCACTGATGGGCGATGGCAGCAGTAGGACAATCGCAGCGGAAGTTTCTCTTTGGAAAGCTTTTCACGTCGAACGCAACACGGAGTATCGTCGGAGAAGGGTTTCAATAAATAACAATTGATGTCTGAAAATGGGACCAAACGTACAGCTCGACTTGCTCATGATCTGTATGACAAGCAACCGAACAGGCAGAACAGAGACCACGAGCTTCTGGGCAGGTGAGGCAGAGATATACAGCTTGTCTGGAACGACAGTCAGCCTTATGCTTTCGACAAGTTGTGGGAGACTTACCGCAGTGGGCCCAGCGAGTACGTGCACTGCGAGAACTGGTGCGGGAGCGCGAGGGCGGCCTCTCGAACGAGCTCTTGTTGCGAGTTCAGATACTCCGTGAGGGTAGACGCCATTTTCTACGCGTTTTGAGGGTGTTGGTCGACACTGTGGTCGATGTTGAGGCTGCCTGGCGCGTTGACGGCGAGTGTTGTTGACAAACCTGGGGGAACAGCCACCGATAATCCCATCAAAATGTCGGCCCGTGACGGTCCGTGACACCTCTCCTACTGCTGGCAAATTCTTTTCTCAACCACCACCATGCCTCTTCGGATCTCAGGAAACTGCGAGTTGTCACATCTTTCCATGCACCAGTCAGTTTTATGTGCTCTCAAGGCGTGTCGATGATCACAACCTCTACATAACGAATCCCGGAACGTGACCGGAACTTGTCGGTGCGATTTATAAAGCTCAAACCCGTCGTCGGTCTCCACAGCGCTCTCCACTAACCACCACCACTATGGAAGGCATAAAAAATGCACCTGACCCGATCCTTCTCACTCTTTTTGCCAATCGCTTCATGAGTGTCGCCGAAGCCATGGGACGGTCCCTGCAACAGACGTCTATCAGCACCAACATCAAGGAGCGTCTCGACTTCTCCTGTGCTCTTTTCGCGCCAGATGGAGATTTGGTTGCAAACGCCCCATTCATTCCGATTCATCTGGGTTCCATGAGCTTGTATGTCTTATCGCCTGCTTCCAATTCCTCTATCTCACAGACTTTACGCTACAAGTGCCGTCAAGTACCAGATGAAGCTCTACGGTGACGCGTTGAAGGAGGGAGATGTCCTCATGACGAACTCGCCGCATGCCGGTGGCTCGTACGTTCTCATCCTGTCCTGAGTTCGCCTTGTCTGACCTGGGAGCCAGCCATCTCCCTGATATAACGATCATCACGCCCGTCTTCGATGCCAACTCAAAAGAAATCATTTTCTTCACTGCGTCACGCGGCCATCATGCAGATATCGGGGGTATCCTCCCAGGGTCCATGCCACCCACGTCTGTCAACATATTCGAGGAAGGCGCAGAGATTGTGTCATTCAAAATCGTCAACGGCGGTGTTTTCGACAGTGAGGGCCTCGTCGACTACATGGTCAACAAACCTGCGCAATATCCTGGCAGCTCGGGATGCCGAAACATTCGTGATGTGGAGAGTGACCTCAAGGCTGTATGTTCCTTCCCTCGGCACCCGGCACACGTATTCACAGTCATAAATAGCAAATCGCCGCAAACCGTAAGGGGATCCAGCTAATTCATGCGAGTACGCCTGATAGTTGATTTCCTGAAAATAACCATTTAGTTGTCTCATCAACAGTTGTCGACGATTACGGCCTCCAAACTGTCCAAGAATATATGTACCACATCAGAAACAACGCAGAGATGTCTGTCCGGAATCTTCTGAAAGACGTTGCCAAGCGCACGGGGTCAAATATCCTAGAAGCTGTCGACTACTTGGACGATGGGTCTCCCGTAAGTAGCCCTTGGTCTTTTAAAGCCTTGGATCCACGCTGACTTGGTTTTCAGATCCAACTCAGGGTAGAGATCGACGAAACCGCAGGATCCGCAACCCTAGACTTCGAGGGCACGGGATGTGAAGTGCGCGGCAATCTCAACGCCCCCATTTCCGTTGTGCACTCTGCCGTGATCTACTGCATGCGCGCTATGCTCGACCTCGACATACCCCTCAATGCCGGTTGTCTCGTCCCTCTCGACAGTAAGTGTCATATCTCGTATTTTTCTCCATCAAGCAAGCAATAGATAGCATCTGACTCCGTCCAGTCCGGATCCCCCAGAAGTCGCTCCTCGCCCCGTCAAGGACGGCAGCTGTTTGCGGAGGCAATGTCCTGACATCGCAGCGGATCGTCGATGTCGTCCTGAGGGCATTCCACGCGTGTGCCGCAAGTCAGGGATGCACCAAGTAAGCCTTCGGCGCCTATCACACGTGACTGCTGATTAGACGCTCGTGCGGCCCTTGCAGCAATCTCACCTTCGGAACCGGTGGCAAAGACAAGGACGGAAAAAGTATCGCAGGATGGGGTTACTACGAGGTAAGTCCTCTCCCTCCGTACATTCCCCAGCACAGCTTTGCTGGCTGGACGATTTATTTTAAGATCTGCAACCGTGGTGAACACAGAACCGACGCCACAAACTCCCTCTATCTCCTATTAAAACACCTTCCTCTTTTCACCTCTCTAATCTACCTACTTACCCCCACTCCAGACAATCGCTGGCGGCTCCGGTGCCGGGCCAACCTGGCACGGTACGTCCGGCGTGCACACGCACATCACGAACACGCGTATCGGTGACGTGGAAATCCTTGAGCGGCGCTACCCCGTCCTTCTGCACACCTTCGGCCTTCGGCCCTCCTCTGGCGGTGCGGGCAAGTTCCACGGCGGAGACGGGGTCGTACGCTCGATCGAGTTCCTTGAGCCGATGCAGGTCTCCATCCTCTCCGAGCGGCGCACGCGTGCACCGTACGGTCTCGAGGGCGGGGGCAGCGGGGCGATGGGCCGCAACACGTGGATCAAGAAGTACCGCCTCGAAAATGGCGATCTGGCTGAGGAGGAGCGGGAGAAAGGCGAAGAGAGGGCCAGGGAGATCAATATTGGGGGGAAGGCGAGCGTTTGGATGGGTAAGGGCGACCGGCTGCTCATCGAGACCCCTGGGGGTGGTGCGTGGGGTCCGATAGAGGGCGATGGGAAGAGGAACCATGTTCATGAGCACGTGAAGGCCTGGGAGCCGCGTGGGTCCATCGCGGAGCGGGCGGCAGCGCAAGCCGCTTTCTGAAATGTCAGTTACGTAACCTATTGCCCTGTGGAATAACCTGAACCCTCTTCCACGCAACGAAGAAGGCGGGTATGAAATCTACTTCGCCCGGCGGCCACATACAGGGTCTATGGAGAGAACGTATGCTCACGGCACTTCATGGTGTGGACAAATGGACGTAATAAGCTCTAGAGATTTTCCAAGAAGTCCTTCTCCGAGTCGGCCTTCCGTTGAGGGTGCAGTGACGATAGAACCTGTTCCGAAGCGAATCCTGAGGTATCTTGTAGGGCATATAAATCCAAGAAGGCCTTATTCAGGCCTCCTGCTATCTGCGGCAATTTCACATTCATGTTTAATTGCATTGACAGGTTTTTCGGAGTTCCTCTCTTCTCCGTGAAGGAAGTACAACTTGATGTCCTCCTCTGCGACTGTAGCCGACTTCTCAGGCCATGCATGCCTTGGATCGACGCCCTTCCCAGTGTCCCCGGTATTCTTGAGCGGGAGAAAAAACGTTCTCCTGATGATCTATTTCATGTTCATCCTCGGCCGAAGAATTAATTTCGAGGATCCAAATTTCGTGAAGGAGGAACTCCTGTATTTAATTCTATGTAGGAATTGGATCAAGAATAAGTAGGTCCGCGAGCCTCGGGAAGCCCAACCTGGAAGTACCCCATTTGACTCTATGGCCGACGGTGAGCTAAGAACCCTCAGATGCGTCACTCCCAAGTGCGTATGACCAGTATATAGGCCGTAGGGAATGTCGACGCGAGGTGAAGGTAAAAGCTAAGGACCCGTTTGAACTAACTACCCTAGTTAAATATAGGAATGACCCGTTACAATAGCGCCACATTCTATCCATAACCAATACTGGTGGGAGGTTACCCGCACGCCCCATATTTATGGCGATCACCGCAGCACAACCTCCTCAGTCTTTTCTGAGCTGATCGAGACCACCTATATAGTTAGACGCCCTGGTCCTCCGGGACTCTGAATAGGCGTCCCGGTTATTCTGGGAAGCTCTCATAGGTCCGGCGCTCAAAATTTGGAAGGCAGGTTCCAAGTTGCTTTCTGGTTAATCTTTCTTCTCTATGGGGATTTCTTGTATTTCATTTCCTGTACTCCGGATTAATACTTGGTTGTATAAGCTGCAACTCCGAGGGGTTCAAAATTCAAACGTCCTCCAGCACAGACGCCAATGCCTCCGATTTTACTCTAGACGCAGAGTCGCCGAGGGGGATCCTGTGCAATGACTTGCTGGAAGCACCCTTGTAAAGGGCGTGCAGGCACCTTTGCGTCAACATAAATCGTACTCTCCTCTCCATCAAAAGCGATCGTTACTGCGCAGGCAAATGACCTCCAGTGACACGTCTAACTCCTCCTAATACCCGAACTGAGTCCATATCAATCAAAAGCAACCCTTCAGAATCTAAGCGGCACGGCGTGTAGGCTACGCGGCGGCGTTGATTCATAGATGACGGATCCTTAGCCCTTCCGGGGTAGCAGTTTATTTTTCACAATGCGTCTGTCCTTCGTGTACGTTCACGCCTAGCCACCAGAGATATATCGACCACCCGTGCTGGTGAAAAGACTTAACACCGTGGTGTCAAACACATATCCTTGGATCAAGGCAATGTCGGAATGAAAGTAATTCTCCATTCTCGATTTGCTTACTATCTCACAAACCTATAGGAATGATATGATCTCGTGTGGGGGAAAGAGGAGCTGATTTTAAACTCGAATAGACTGGATCTGACAAAAATACTCCGCTCCTCACCATGAACCAAATTATCTGATACTCACGTGAATACGTCCCCCCATCGGCCAAAGTGTGAGACGAATACTTCCCTTCAAGCAATTTCATAGATAGGAGAGAAAAACATCTGTGATGAATCCGGACACCCATCACCCCGACTCTGAGCTGTCCGCGGCAAAGTAATGGCCTCGAACTGATGTGGGCGAGGAGAAAATAGCTCAGGGATCAGCTTCATGGGTAGCGGTGTTAATAAATAGCTATGCCTTTTAGAATACGTTATTTAGAACAAGCTTGCTTTTCTTAGAGGTTATAGCCCCGAAAAAAGCGAGCTCCTTCGTTATTATTATCTTCAAAGCAGAATTTGTCCCAGGCTTGGGTACTCCACCTTGGAATAGAACAGGATCCTGCTAAGATTTTCTCCTCTCTGCCTAAGTGACCGATAGAGATGGAACCCGAATTTACGGCCAGAGTCTTATCCCTGGGTACCTGGGTGCTTGCCGCCCAGGAGGGATCTAATTTGGATGATATGGCCGAAGTGAATCAAGAAATCACTACCGTGATATCATGTCCAATTTCTTTCAAATTTGATCTATTATGACTTCTTTGTCTTGTGTTTGATTTGTGGATTTCTTCTTTTCGTTCTCTTATCAGTGTAGAGATTTAATCACCCGTTGATGTAGCCCCGTTGAATGAGCGCTTAATATTTTAATAAGCCTAATTTGGGTAAATGATCTCACCCCTATCTAATAGTACTGTAATACACTGTCTGATCGTGATCACCCACAACCTGACTTCAACCGCAGTTCAGCGGAAGACAGGAGTGAACATTTGAACAACGATATTATGGCCAGCACACGTATTATTTCAAAGTTTCTTGTCCTGCTAGTTTATTCTGATCTTACTTCCAGAGGCAATAGGAGAAACACGCCCAGTCTTTTTATTCGTCACCCCGTCCCCGCTCTTCCCGGCGCACTGGGGAATGGCAATCCCGGATATCGACGATCCGACCTGGGTGAAAGTCATCCATGTCACTGGAAGCGTCGCAGAGGGCTTCGAGCATGCATTCAAGCGCGACTACAATACGGAACTCTCGACGACGAAGTACAAGAAGATTTCCCTCGGGGACGTCGCTCAGGAGTACAGCATCTACAAGAAGGACCCTTCGTGCCCCGATGAGCCCAGGATCGATACGATGGCAGTGGACAGGATGGAGGAGATCGCTCTTACAGTGCCAGCACCAGTAGCCAGCCTGAACACCATGAAAGACGCGTCGAAGGTGCGTATTCGTTCGTTTGACTGCGGACATTATGATGACCTTGAAGCCACAGCCGGGGATGAGGGTTTCTGTCAAAAACTGTCAGACTTGGATGCGCGAGTATGTCCAAGCGCTTATCGCTGCTAGTGTTTTGAAGGAAGAGGCTCTTGACATCTTGGACAAGGCACCAAAAAACTGAGGTTGATGGATTTCGAGGAATAGAGTCTCTTGATTACAATACAACTAAATCACTGAAAAATACGTTACAAGGAGGGCTATGAAAGAATGACAAAGACGCACCATGTATTAGTGTATATTAGTTGTGAGCAAGCTGCGTCCTCAGAACCCGAACAACGTTGCCCCATAAGCCAGATGCGACAAATCCTAGCACAAATCCAGCTACCACTCGCACATCAACGTAATGCACCAGGGAAAATGACTGCTTTCCCGACGAGATAAGGGACTCGTCATCTTGTCCCCAATCCCTCGACGCGACACCTTCGTCGAATCCAGCCCTTGCGGTGAACGAGGTCAGCAATCCTGGAAGACCGTCAATGCTCTTCTGATTGGCTGCCTCCCAGTAGAACTTGAGGCCCTTGTCCGATCCAAGTGAGGAGCTTGTCGGAACCCCGTTCCCGTTGGCAGACGTGGTCGTCGACTCAGTTCGAATGTCCTCGAGCTCCCTCTTCGCCATTCCTATATGAAGCCGCATCCGGTTCGACTTGAACGTGTAGAAGGGAATGGAGTAACCGCACGACTGAGGATAGTTGGTGAGCATTGCGCATAAGAGGGCCGTTCTGACTCACCGTTCCAACCTTATGTACATCCAGCATGATGACCGAGCGAGAACCTGGTTGTCGCTTCTCAGCGGGGAGGAACTCGTTGTACTCTGGAGTCCCATACTCGTAGACAGTTCCTTTACCAAGTCATTTAGAATGACCTCAAATGACGCAAAGACGTTAGATACCTGTTCCGAAAAGTCTGACAATCCTCGGCGGGCCCTCGAATGCGCAGAACATGATCGTCAGCCTCCCATTCTCTCGCAGATGGGCGGTCGTCTCAATGCCTGTCGTAACGAACCGCGTCAGAGTGTCTATCCTGGCTGTCGAAAACTACCAACACGCACCGCTCCCCGTAAGATCCTCATACCACACCTTGCTCTTGTTCACTATCCGAAATGTGCCGTCGAATCCCTTGGGTGAGACATTGACGTGCCCGGAGGGCGAAAGCGGGGCAGTGGCGACCCAGAACATCTTCTGCTGTTCGATCCATGGAAAGAGGAAGTCGGGGATCTCGTCGAAGAACTTGCCCATGGTTTCAGTTGCTGACGATGGCAGGTGGGTGAGATGGTGCGCTTGGGACTGATGACGGTTGCGGATAAGTTGGTCAAGAGTACTATTCGTCAGTGCTCATAGTGGTCAGATGGTCATCGGACTCCTGTCTTCGGCTGTAAATGTGAGGCAGCCAATATGTCGCCATGTGTTCGTTGAAGGTGGAACAGGGTTCAGGATCATTGACATTGATGGCGAAACAATTGCGTAGCTCCAGGGCTGGACCTTATCTTATCACTGTCGGTCGTCAGTTTCGCTACCAACGTGTCGACGAAGTGTACATTTGAAACATATATGTATTTTGAACAGAAACATTCAGAAGTCTACATAGAGAGGATGAGCTCCTTGGATTAGCGTAAGAGACGCCCTGAACGAGAACAGGCGATAGCCTAACAATTAGTCAGTGCTTCCGCAGGAGACGCATCTTGGGCGAGCACGGCGCCGAAAGTGACCTCGGCAACGTCGTAGAACTTGGACGGCCACCTCGTTGCAGTCTTCATCACGAGAAGCTCGTCAGCGTGCGTAGAACCATAACCCAAGAAGAACCCGCACTTGACGGCGATTATGCGGCTAGCGAAGGCGCACGGGACGAAGAGGGTAAGGATGGATGAGATGAAAACTGTTGAGGAGTGCATTGCTCTAGCTGACGAGTAGCAGAAGGCGGTGCTGAATGGGACGGAAGCTGGACCGGCAGTGGTCAGGAAGCACTGATGAAGCTAGATATATGCTCGAGATAATGGCAATGCGAGACTAGAAAGCAGGGAGGAAACGAGTACAGATGAGAGCAATGTCATCGATGGGGGAGTCTAAGATATTAGGTGTAGAGTAGGGCTCGGAGCACGGAAGGGGCAGACTGGCCGGCAGTCGGCACGAAGTTGGGTCTGAGTCTTCATGAAGAGACACCTGCCAGTGTTGATACACGCGGAAAGCATGGTCGTCTAGGAACCGCTCAGGAGAATTCGTAGCAGAAAAGGAGAATACGACTCGGTAGAGGTGGTCAAACTTAAATGAGGGATGGGGGTCTCCGTTGTGCTGCCGGAGGGTGCATAATGCGACGCCAGGGGAGGCTGGTGTGCTCTTGGTCAATGACCTGGATGGAATAGGCTTGTGCAGCACCTTAATTATCGTAATAAGTAGCTCAGAGGGTGGTGGGTTCGTTCGATTGCCGAAGTCCTTTTGCCATAGGACAAGTCCTGTGTGGGACTGGCTAAAGTAGGCTGCAGCGCGAGCAGCTAGGCCACCTCTGTAAACGAGTAAGTGTGGAAGCAGAGAGAACGATGAATAACTACGCACCGGGTAAACTTCGAGGTATTCTTTCCCTTCTTCTCTGGGCTCATCTCTAAACCACGTTGTGCGATGGCCTGATGAGAGGGCTCCAGGAGACATAATTCTGGGTGCTGGTCGTGTAACATAATGGATGCTAGTTCTTCGGTCGCGCTTTGAGATGAAAGGTTGAGCTGCCCGAGTCCTGTTGTTGAGATCGTACGTAGCTCTTTCGTAGGTGGTTGTTTGAGAGGGGTAGGAGCGGCTGGCTGTTGGAGAGGTTTAAGCGGCTTCGAGGGCGTTTTCGGGGCCGGGAAGGAAGGAGGGATGATTTGTTTGAGAGCCACAGGTTCAAGCGTTTCGTCATTGGATGGCGGCTCCAAAGGCAGTCGGGGAATTGGGAGAGGGCGTCGTGATTCCGGTGATGGCTTTGCAGGCGTAGGTTTGTCCAGAACCAAGGATTTGTGAAGCTCTTGTACCGATTTCAGGGTGGAGCTTTCCCGATTCTTGGGCTTGCTGGGAGTGCTATCGTTGATTCCGCTGGACAAAATAGAAGTAGTGGCATGCCTCTCCATCGTAGCCTTTGAAAGGGGTTTCGAACTCGCGCCTTTCGAGCGTGGTTTCTCGACGACGGGTGTTGTATTACCGTTGTCAAACGCACAAGTGAATTGAGGAACTGGGGCTTTATAAGCGGGTTTGGGGAGTGCGTTCGTGAATCCTTCAGCAGATGGCATGTGTGTACGCCGCCTCTTCGTTGGACGGTCATCTCCGTGTGTCGCAAACTCGGACGCAGCCTTTGGGAACATGGAAGGAAGGAGAGAGGGTGGTCACGCGCAGAGCGTGACCGATCGTGGAGATTTCTCCTTCACTGGTGTGGGAACCGACTTTATGTGCGGTCAAAAAGGTGTGATAGGGGTGTTAAACTTGATATACATGATTTTTTTGTGTCAAAAAAGTTCAAATAAAGTTACAATAAAATCTTCCTTTCCCTTGCTCATAATTTTCCGAAAATCATCACCTTTGAGGTAATTAGTAATGACTAAATTTACCCATCCTTTTGTTGCTCCGGAAAAGACAATAAAAGCGCGGAATTTGGGACGACAAAAAGGATTGACATAAAGGATTCGGGGATACTATAAAAGGAAAGCCCGAACCCTTTATATCAAATTTTGCTCACAATTAAAGGCATCAATTACCTAACAATTATAGATGAACATAAAGTGTTTATATAAAGGGTTTGGGCTTTCCTTTTATAGTATCCCCGAATCCTTTATGTCAATCCTTTTTGTTGTCCCAAATTCCGCGCTTTTATTGTCTTTTCTGGAGCAACAAAAGGATGGGTAAATTTAGTCATTACTAATTACCTCAAAGGTGATGATTTTTGGAAAATTATGAGCAAGGGAAAGGAAGATTTTATTGTAACTTTATATGAATTTTTTTGACACAAAAAAATCATGTATATAAAGTTTAACACCCCTATCATGCCTTTTTGACCGCATATAAAGTCAGTTCCCACACCAGTGACATAGGCTTGCGTCTCATCATGGCTGCTATTCGACAAGACAGCCCCACAGGCTCAGCACGAATTTCCACGACATTCACTTACAGCAGAGTTAAGGAGATTACGGGTCTTAACCTGCCAGCTCTCCATCGTGCCCACTCTGCAGGCGACGTGTCTGACCACCATGAACCCCAGCTGCCTCTGAAAAAGAAGAACATCTATATATTAGCGCGGACAAGCCTTCCTTCATAACAAGAAAACCTGGCTATGCTCTCCACAAAGCTCACTATATCAATGCTGTAAGGAAAAATCTGCGTGAGAAGGCGACAGTAGTATGTTCTGTATTGTGGAATGATTTTGAACCTGTCTGACCATAAAATAGGAAGGTTTCCTCCTCGGTTTGAGTGTTGTTAGAAGACAGTTCAGTTGAACTCTGCTGGCAACCTCACCCTTTGTAAGTTTATGTGAATTATTCTGCGCCGTGGCCATTAATGACGAACTCTCTTTGTAGTGGATCCAATTTGCATCTTACTCTGGATAAACTTGGATTCTTTGCCATCACTTACTCAAAAGTCACATTCAATTATATGATAGAGGTGGTCGACACAGAAAATAAGAAGTTCGATCAGTATCCCGACGCGTACACCCGATTTTTCAACGTGAATTCTGGATGTCCTGTCTAGGCACCTGTGCTCAGGCAAGCTTCCCAGCTGGAGACAGCCATTCTCAAGCACGGAATACAAGCTGGTGGTCCTACACCCGAACCACTGTCTTCCCATCGGCAGCACCCTGGCCATACACACTCAGGATCCTAACAATCCTGTCCACTTGGTCGGAAAGTTATATATGGCGAGTATGGATGAGGCTTTGCGCGAGACATCGGGTGACCACTCTCCATGGTTTCCCGCCTTTTGTGTCACCTGCTGTCTTGCACAGAAGCACTGTGACTGCCTCAACCCATTCCTCGTCGTTCTCGACGCCACCATGGCATTCTGGCGATACATGAAGTCCACCTCCCTGCGCCCCGCGCCTCTATGCACGGACTATCGGGACCTCATCGGCTTGACCCTTGCACTCGCAGACAAGATACACTACAAGCCTGTTATCCCAGTCGCTCTGCAAGCGTCTTCAGATGCTCGTCAACGTGTGGTTATGAAGAAGGCCACCGGAAGCTGCGAAAAACAATGAAGATGTGGTCATGGGAAACGTGGGCAGGTTTGGTGCCATGACCAGGAACGGTTAGGATAAAGCTCTCACTCCGAAAGGACTGGGTAGAGGTAGGCGGGATGTGGCCATGAGGTCCTCCATGTTTGGTGCTGAAGTCAGAGGGCCTCCCCCCAATGCTTCTTGTGAGGACATCGTGGATTACTGTCACTATCTTATTTCTAGTCGAGGCAAGTCCATCATCTAACCACTGGAAGATTGTTTCTGATGTCTTGTTTAGACGAGCCGCTCAATCAGAAAAATGATGCGATTCTGGCTTCAATTGGCTTGTATCCCGCTGGCGTTGTCTGACAGCGAGGAGGATGAAGAGGAGGATTGGCTGGGCAAAGAGTGCATTGACGCTGCTCCAGATACTATGGGTACACTTCTCAGCCGGTCCTGAAATGCATCGATGAAACTGAATCCTTTTCAACATAGTGTCAGTTGCCAAAAAGGTTTTACAGCGGCAGACTGCTGCCATTAAGGCAGAAGGCCTGAGGCCTGAAGCGCAGAAGGTCCACCAGTTGGGCATCTTTTCCATACGTTTACCGAATCCACCTTATCATCTCCTCTACCACTCTTCGTAGTGTTTTCCTAGACCGTCTCAGTCATGTAGGATTACAAGGAGCTGGCCTTGAATATTTGAGCTTGAATCCTCGAGATGACGGGATGAACCTAAATGCTGTCCTTGGTGCCGTTGGGGCTCGGATCGATGTCCCCTGCGATTAACCTCAATCCCTTGTGCCCAAGTTTGTGCCATCTATGGAACAGATGAAGACATTCAATGCATTGCTCCAGACTGGACATGCTGAACTTCTGGGCACCAGCCATCTCAGTGTGGGGCAAACAACGCCAGATCTTGTATGACTAGCGACATTAATCCGTTCATGACGATATCGAAGTGGGGTCATGGACTCCCCACATTTGCTACGGGGTTTTGGAGGATGGTGGTTGGAAGCACTGGTGTGGGAACCGACTTTATATGCGGTCAAAAAGGCATGATAGGGGTGTTAAACTTTATATACATGATTTTTTTGTGTCAAAAAAATTCATATAAAGTTACAATAAAATCTTCCTTTCCCTTGCTCATAATTTTCCAAAAATCATCACCTTTGAGGTAATTAGTAATGACTAAATTTACCCATCCTTTTGTTGCTCCAGAAAAGACAATAAAAGCGCGGAATTTGGGACAACAAAAAGGATTGACATAAAGGATTCGGGGATACTATAAAAGGAAAGCCCAAACCCTTTATATAAACACTTTATGTTCATCTATAATTGTTAGGTAATTGATGCCTTTAATTGTGAGCAAAATTTGATATAAAGGGTTCGGGCTTTCCTTTTATAGTATCCCCGAATCCTTTATGTCAATCCTTTTTGTTGTCCCAAATTCCGCGCTTTTGTTGTCTTTTCTGGAGCAACAAAAGGACGGGTAAATGTAATCATTACTAATTACCTCAAAGGCAATGATTTTCGGACAATTATGAGCATGGGAAAGGAAGATTTTATTGTAACTTTATTTGAACTTTATTGACACAAAAAAACCGTGTATATAATGTTTAACACCCCTATCACACCTTTTTGACTGCACATAAAGTCGGTTCCCACACCAGTGTGTGCGGGTTTGAAGGTGAGAGTGATGGCCTGGGATTTTCCGAGTTGACATTGATGGAGGTCCGACAACCGTCACGCGTCACGATCGAACGGAACGGTGATGAAAAGTTGGCGGCCCAGTCCACCACGACACTCTTAGTCAATCATGAAGGACAGCTCCCACGAGTCAGTGCGATATAACCTGCTTTGACGTTCACCCCGAGACGTTATCCGAAAGCACAGTTTCAAATTTTCATTGAGGCCATCCAGGTACTCGTAAGTAACTCAAGTGACTCCGGATGATGGCTCGGGAGATGATACTGATGATGATGGAGATATCCAAGCAATAGGATCCATGAAACCACATGATCGCCCTGCGTGGTCAATATATAATAAAGGACAAGAACATGAAGCTATCTCTGAGGCCGTTTTCCCCACCTGCGCTCCTCATGAAATTCTATGGAGGATTCACCTAACCGCTGCCTCTTCCTCCCGGGAGAAGGATTACTCCACAAGAAGTTCCTAATAGGCACCATCCTCTCTGGGGTTGCCTACGGACTCGTGCTCATCCTCTTCGTCGACTCCATTCGACTGCTCTTCAGGCGCTCGACTCTCTCTAGGAAGAAGAAATGGAGCTTGGTCATGTTCATGTCGATGATGTTCTTTGGGAGCACTGCGGCGCTCGCGCTCGCCTGTACCGATGTCATACGGAGGACGAAGACGAACGCCGGCTGTCCGTCGCTGCAGATAATGACGCTGTTCGTTCCGAGCATCTGCATCCCGTATGTGTTTGTACTGTGGGAGGCTGATGGGATGATGGTGAGTGTGCATTAACCTTTGGTCATTTCTTGTATTCATGAAAAAAACAGATATGGAGATGCTTAATTCTATACGACGGCATTTCTCGACTTCGTTATCGCACCTTGGTGGGCGTTCTCGCCGGGATCTCGCTCCTGTCTTTGGGTGAGCGACTCCGAATCTCACTCCTCCCAAACAACCTAATCCGTGCGAAACCTATCGAAGGATGGGGTGTAGCGCTCCTCATTCCAGGGATTTTCTATAAAGTCGGAATAATGGGAGAGTCGGGCTCAACCAGCGTCGCCATCGCCATTCTTCCAGCCGTGACCATCTTCAACAACGTTGCCCTTGCGTGCCTGATTTCTTTCCGTTTACTCTGGCACCAAAATCGGACTAGGCGACTACTCGGAAAGGCGTATGGGTCGCCCTACAAGAGAGTAATCAGCATTTGCGTGGAATCCTGTTCGCTCATCGTTGTCGTGAACATTATCTTCCTTGCCCTGCTTGTAAATCTGTCACCCGATACGCTGATTGTGGAATCGCTCCTTACTCATACCTCCGTGAGTCTCTCGCAACGTTCGGAGAATTTTACTCAATCTTACACTAGGTAATTTCTGCCCTCCTTGTCCTCCATCGCATTGCGAAAGGGACAGATGCCATTGCGGAGATAAACACGGAAGACATTCCCTTGACCCCCGGAAATCAAGAGACACACCTCTCGACTCTTCAATTCAGTTCTGAGACGGGATTCGCGGAATCGGAATACACCACGCAATCCTCCACGATTGAGGGGAAGAGTACAAAGTGATAACTCTACCCGGGCAACCCCGATGACCATCGCGAAGCCCCAGCCCCACCTCTACGAAGGGGAAACCGGGTGTCTCCACCTCATCTCATGCCCGTCCTCCATCGTTGGCTCCAGGAAACCCCTAAACATCCACGGGCAGTCCTCCTTCCTCTCCTCCTTCCTCTCCTCCTTCCCTCCCTCGGACCCCTTCCGATCGCCCTGATCCTGCGACCACCGTATCCCATACCCCTCTGGCACTCTAACCTCATACACCAGCACCTGGTGCGGCAGCCAATGCAGGTTCCGCCAGCTGGCGCCGTTCATCACCCTCCAGAACAGCGCGAGCGCCTTTTCGTTGATCACGCCCACCGGGCCGGAGGCGATTCCCCACCAACCTTTGGCCTCCGCGGCTTTCTTTTGCTTTAGTTTCTCTTTTGAGATCGGTGAATTGTGGCCTTCTTGCGTGTCGTGGCCGGGTGGAAGTAGTGGAAGAGGCTGCGAGCGGTGGGCGTGCTTCGACCATGCGCGCGAGCCGGCGGTCAGGCCGTTGCTATTTGGAACGATGAAGGCCGCGAGGCAGGTCTCGACGGAAGGTGCTTTCGTTCCCAACGCTGAGCCGATAGTATACGCGAGCCCTTGGGAGAGGTGGACAAAGAGAGGGACATCTTCACCCATGGAATCAGGCTGGGAGGTATTGACTTTCGGCAGGCCGTCCGAATTTCGATTGGATTTCGTTCGTCTCGTCAGGACCCCAGCCACGCGCGTTCGCTCATTCGCCGCGTTGGGCAGTTCCTGCATCCCATAACAGTAGGGATTGGGGAGGACCACATTTCCAGCGACGACAATCCGATCTCCACTGCTTGGATGCGCCACATTGACACCTTGTGTGGCGCTCGTTATACCATCAGTGGTGTCGGGTGCCTTTTCACTATCGTCCATTCAGCGTCTTGGGGACTAAGAGGACTAAGGAAAGATTAGAGTAGCAGTGCAGTTTCAATTCATTGACGAACACGATTAGATTGTTCCCCAAGTGAACTTGCGCCCTCGGTTTCTGCCGTCGATTGAACGATTTTCAGGGAGATAAGTGTCGAGATGATGGAGGTCTGGGGTAAAGAGCGAGATAACAGGGTCTAAGCGACTATAGCGCCCGGCGGAGCTTCGGCCCGTTTCAAGCCTTTTTTTGGACTTTGTGGATAAATCGATGACCTCTGTGTCTTGCTTTACAGGAGGGTCCGCAGAATATGAACGAGGCCACAATAAATACAATAAAACCTCTGGAGATGTACGTAGTTTGGATAAGACCAGCTTTGGCCTTGTCGATAACTTGGCGCCCACCCGTCATGGGATGTGGTTGTCGATGCTTCTCCTCGCTTACGCTAATGGATTCCCCATAAGATAGATAAGAAAATGTCTAAAGTTTAATGCATATTTTACTTATGATATAGCTCGTGAAGATGCGAAATTAAGGACTCTCGGGTGTCGATGTTTGTCCCCGAGATTTGCAAAGGATGCCGAAGTGACTCTAACAAGAGAAGATTGGAGATCTACACACATGGCTTCAGGGTGAAGATCTTCGAAAGGGAGAAGGCAGGAATCGAAGCACATCACTCCGATAAGAGTGGGACGCCGTATGGCCGATTTACGACCGATTATCTTCGCGTTTTCAGGCGCCTAAGAATTTAAACGATAGATAAAATGATTTGTCGGCCGAACGGAGAGATTCAAGTGTATAAGGCACACTTGAGCAGGTCACTTTTGCAGTGGGGCTTCCATACGATCAGGGAAAACGTTTGTAGTTCTCGAAATCTTCCTTAGAGCTAACAATACTGCTACCTCCGACATCATAGGAAGGAACTGTGGTCATTTATAGCTTGCACAACAACTCCACCTCGACTGATGCTTGTCCGTTGCTGTTAGTAGAAGTCTAACTGTTTGATGCCTGCTGAACTCGTACTTTCGAAGGAGCGCTTTGTTGCCCGACCTCCTGAAGGAAGCTAGAAACCATGTGATGGGAACACGTTTCGTCACGCCCGACTCCGACGTCGACGCGGATGAAGTTGTGATGTTCGTTGATGTCCGCTTTCGACCTCACCACGACTACTCACGGCCACGGCAAACGATGATACATCAGCGGTGCAGCGCTTCAGCTCTATTATTGCTTCAGAGAACTTCCAACTCCATAAGGCTGCCCGCACTATCTTTAGACTCGCCTTGGAAGTTGGTGTACGGTACCCCATTTTCCCCGAGATTCTAATCTGGCGACTTGGACTTGGTCAAAAACTCTAAGCGCGATAGCTCTTATCGACAATACAGTAGACGCCACAGGATACACACCTTTCAGGAACCTTTTGAATCGGACGTTCCCCCCCGCATTGGGCCAAATGTGCGGGTAACACCTCCGTGGGGCTTACATGTCCTTCTATCAACCAATCTTCTGCTTCTCGAGCTTATCGTACAAGTGACAGGGCCTAGATAAGCCACTATAAAAGGCGCTACGTCTCTTGCCAGCTTTTCTTGCCCTCCCTGCACTTCCAGAGTGTATAGAGCTATAGCTACCTGCTCCAGCCAGTGCCGTTCTCTCTTCCTGGTCCCCTTCTGAACGAAATGTCGGAAACCGTACTCCCTCAAGGGGCCGGATATGGAGTCGGTATGCCTCTCGATGTGTTACATGTCGTAACTCGCGTTAACCTCGGTCTGTTTCGCCTGGTTTCGTTGATCAGTCGTCGGTATGTCGCATTCCTTAGTGCAGTCGTACAGCCTAAGCTGAATGTCAACCCATCGACCCAGGAATTGGCTTGTTCTTCAGTGCATTTATGCTTGGCATTACTGCCATTCAAGCACGATATACAGCCTTCTCACCCAAGAATTCCGAGGAGTTCACCAGCGCGTCACGTAGCGTGAAGCCTGGTTTGATTGCCTCAGGAATTGTCTCTGCGTGGACGTGGGCGGCCACTTTGGTATGTCGCTGATCTCTTCAATTGGGCCCATAATTAATGATTGACGTTTCTGCCAGCTGCAAAGTAGTGCGGTGGCTTACAAGTTCGGGATCAGTGGTCCTTGGTGGTATGGAGGTATGATTAATTCACCCTTTTTTTCTCGCTTCGATTTTCTAATGTTCGTGATTAGCTGGAGCGACTGTACAAATCTTGCTTTTTGCCATGGTCAATCTACTCTTCATGCACTTTCACCCCACGTCTGACGCCTCGATAGCTGGCCGCAAAACTGAAGCTCAACGCGCCTTACGCCCACACATGGCTCGAAATTGTTGGAGTAAGATGGGGAAAGACCGCTCATTTGGTCTTCATGTTCTTCGGGTAGGCCGGATTTTTGCCTTCGTATGAGCCCGCGGCTGAACCCAGCAACCCAGTCTCGCCACCAACATCATTGTCAGTTCCATGTTGATTCTTGGGGGCTCTGCCACGGTGACGGATCTGACCGGGATGAGCACAATTGCTGTATGCCTTCTTCCCTTTGTGAAAGACTGCCCTTCTGAAATTTCACTTCCAGGCTTGCTTCCTGATTCCCCTTGGAGTCGCTATCTACGTGGTCGTCGGTGGAATGCGGTCAACCCTTCTGTGCGACTAGTAAGTGGGGATCTCTCCCAGTTGTCCCTCCACTAACCTCGCACCACTCCAGCACACACACCGCCGTCCTCTTCGCCATCATTCTAACCTTCATCTTCACTGTCTATGCAACCAGCGACAAGATCGGAAGCCCCTCCAAGATGCACGAGCTGCTCACTAACGCCTCTACCGTCGCCCCCATCGCAGGCAACGCACACGGTTCGTACATTACCATGCGCTCGAAGAACGGGCTCATCTTCGGCGTCATCAACATCATCGGGAACTTCGCCACAGTGTTCCAGGACCAGGCGTACTGGCAGCGCGCGATCGCTAGCCGGCCCGCAAGCACCGTGAAGGCATACCTCCTTGGAGGCCTGGCATGGTTCGCGATTCCATTCACGTTTGCGACGACACTTGGACTTGCTGCTGTTGCGCTCCGGGGAGATCCTGATATGAAGGTCCTCACACCTGCTGATGTGTCTGCTGGTTTGCCGGCTGCTGCTGCCGCGGCTGCCCTCCTGGGCAAGGCAGGTGCTGCTGCACTGCTCGTCCTTCTCTTTTTGGCCGTCACTAGTGCCTGCTCTGCCGAACTGATTGCAGTTTCGTCTATCCTGACTTACGATGTGTACAAGGTAAGCTGTCGACGCGGGTGCCTCAGAAGTAGGAATTCTGGGCTAATACTTTTCATAGGCCTACGTCAACCCCAAAGCCACGGAAGAGCAGATTTTGCGTGTAGGTCACGCTGGAGTCGCCTTCTACGCCCTTGTTTGCGGTCTCGCGGGTGTGATTTTCTTCTACATTGGCGTCTCCATGGGTTGGCTCTATGTAAGTCCTCTTTCTTTCGACGATCGGCCGTCCTCATTTTAGTACTAGACGTTCATGGGTGTCATCCTCGGCTCTGGAGTTGCTCCCATCGCTTTGTGCATCACCTGGAGTAAGGCGAACAAGTGGGGCTGCATCGGTGGATCGGTCGCTGGGTTCGTGGCTGGTGTCATTGCCTGGCTTGTCACGACTGCGAAGCTCAACGATAATGTCATCAATGTCGTGGTATGTCAAGTATTAATTTTCATCATCCCACTATCTGATGATAATCCACAGACGAGCGGAGGCGACTATGAGATGTTGGCAGGCAACCTCGCGTCCATCGGTGTTGGCGCCATCGTGGCCGTCGTCTCTTCCCTCATCGTGAGCGCCTTCATCTCAAACATTGTCCGACTTACTCAAGTCATATAGTGGCCCGACAACTTCGACTGGGAAACCACCCGCGCAATCAACGTGCCCGCTCCGCCTCCAGAGAAAACCGAGAAGGACTCCGACAGTGACACCCACAAGAAAGGGTCCATCGCCGGCGACTCATTCGACGTTAAGGAGGAAGCAGACGAACTCGACCCTGTGGCTCTTGCGAAGGCGTTCAGATTTGCAACCGTCTCCTCCGTCAGCTTGGTGTGTCTTAGTCCCTTTTGCTTTTCGTCAACCGGCACTCTCTAACCGCACTCCTTTCTTCTCATGGTCATCTTAGTTCATCATCCTCATCCTCATCATACCCCTGCCACTGTTCTTCTCGTCTCACATCTACGGCGTTGGCGGCCTGACGGGGTGGGTTTCGATCGGCATCGCATGGACGTTCTGCTCCGCCATCGCCGTCGTCATCTACCCTCTCTATGAGAGCAGACACGCGCTCATCCAGATTACAACCGGCATTTACAAGGTGGGTTGTTCTATTCCTTCCTTCGTGGGTGTGAAAACATCGGAGCTGAATACGTGGACGGCCTATTAGGATATCTTCACGAAGGGCAGTGGGAAATTTGTCGACGAGCCCCCCAAGGCCTCCGCTGCCTGATTAAAAGTGCTTATTACCCCTTCTATCGCCGACGACACGCTATACGATACGACCCATGACCCTCTTACAACCCATGTTCGGCTTGCATCTACTCGGGGCTATGTATGTTTGTTTAACGTCTGTCATTTTGTCTGCGTAGACGAACGGGCGGCTGAGCAAGTCGCGGGATATACCCTCGCAGTTGTGAGGAAGGTTTTCCCTTTTGTACTTATACTTTATTTGGGACGCCGTCATGAATATACGCATTTTTCTGTCTTCTGTCGTAGGCCATCTATCGTTGAACTTTCGCTGCAACTTCGACCGGCCACTTGTCCCCGAAATTCCCACCGCAAACTCCGGAATTGTCTCCTACGTTCTTCCTGTCTTTCGTCAGTCTTCCTTCATTCTCTCAATTTTCTTCTATCCCTCCCAACGCCCACCAACAACCATTGAATTAGCAAGGCTCTACCCTCGAGAACCTTGACTTCTGCTTTCGCTCAAAACCACGCTTTCAATCGCGATCTACTAAGCTCCTCGAAGGTCTTGGCACCTTATTCCAGCAATAGAATTAGCATGCAACCTTGTCAGTGGGAATATAGATGCCCATTAGAACCCCAGAATGATAGACTGAAATGATAAGATAGTCTCCGGGATCATGATCACGCTGGCTATCGTCCTCCTTGGCTTAACCTTATCTTCTTTACATTGCACTAATTCCCCCCTATCTTCCCAGTAAATATCCATCCACCAGGGCCTAGACTCGAAATCGCGATACCAACCTTAGCCCGCACCGCGATGCTTGGGGTCATTCGCCCCATCCCGACCTCGATGACGTCGTCCTCGGTCGGCAACCGACGAACGTGACGCCATTGCGACAGATGCTGTACATGTGCGGGGCGGGCGTCCTGCAGATGGCACTAGCACTGCGCGTCGAATGAATTGTGTCTCGACCTCGACTTCTGGTATGCGATATGGCCGGAGCATCCTTACTACTGGAGAATTGCCCGTAAATCATCTCATGATGCAGGGTTCCGACACGGTATCTTGTATAAAGGAGGGCTCTGTGTTGGTGTTTACACTGGAGTCGGCAGCCTTTCGCTCGTTGGCTGCTCTCCACCATCGCCGGCGGCATGATGCGCTTGATGCGTATTAATGATATCATAATTGTATGAGCGCTTAGTTGGCCATGGGCGACTAATTATCCAGTGCGACAGATAAAAGGGCAAGCGATTGAGAATAGGTTGCTTGAGGGTCAGGTGTCCGTACGATTCTTCATAATCGAGGGCGAGTACGTTGATTGAGTTTCCTTGGAGTTAACGCAACAAAGATGACTTCAGTATGACACGATATTTCTTTGTCAAAAATACCGCAGGGACAACGTTTCAGGGAGCCGGGTGACGGGAGGCTGGCTCGTTTTCAGGCAGTCCCTGCCATCGAAGATGATTAAGCTTCCTTTCCATCTCGAAACCTGCTTCTAAACCACCACCTCTACTGAATGAGACTGGTTTTACGAGAGGAAAGGCCGGCGAGACAGATTCCAATTTTGGAGAGCCAAGATCCAAAAGAGGGAGCTCCGTGATGCCGGCCGGGTCAGGAGCGGTAACGTGATTTGGGGCAAGAATGCCAAGTGTACCAAGGCTCCGACGGAGGACATATAAAGGCGGCCGCCTTGGCCATCACAGCCTCCCCCCTTTCTCTTTAAGGTCCCCCAATTAACGAACCCGGCCACACCTGAATGGGAGAATCTTTCGCTTTACCTGCTCACAATGCGACAAACAACGTTCTGCCCCAGCCAACACCTGCTCTTCTCGCTGAGGACGATGATGAACCCCCTAGTAGTGGGCCACGTAATGAACCGCCGCCTCAAATAACCACGCCAGCTCCTGGTGGTCATTCCAACTCGCGCCCCGTCGATGGTGTTAGAGAGAAAGACTTCGCCCATGCCGATCGCGAAATCACACTCGAAACTATCGAAACGGTAGATGTCAAAGAAGACATCCCCGTCAGTGACATCCCCAGTGAAGACCTCGAGAAACTTGGGGAACGTCGAGTCCGCCGCCGTTTCAGGCGCATTAGGCTCTCTAAGACGGCTCGCATCCGTGCCCTGTTCACTCCCAAGCATATTGTCGGCCCTGAACCCACATACTTGCAGTCGATCAAGGCCATGATACGCTACACACCGCTCAACCTCCTATTGGTGTTCATTCCAGTTTCGTGGGCCATGCACTTTACCCACCAGAGCGCCACCTTGACGTTCGTATTCTCTGGCCTCGGTATCGTCCCCCTCGCCGCCCTCCTCGGTTTGGGTACCGAGCAAATCGCGCTACGCACCAGCCAGAGCGTCGGTGGTCTGCTCAACGCTTCTCTTGGTAACCTCATCGAAATGATTATCTCCGGTATCGCCTTGAAACAGGTAAGCTAGTCACTCCTCAGTTCACCGCTCGAGGGCTAACCACTTGGTCAGTGTGAACTGGAAGTCGTACAAAGTGCCTTGTTGGGTAGTCTCTTGAGCAATCTCTTGCTTGTCTTGGGATGTGCATTCATTGGTATGTCTTGCGTATGCCTCGCGTTATTGTTTTCTATCCGCCATCTCATTTCTCATCCACAGTCGGTGGTTTCCGTTTCCATCAGCAACAATTCCAGCCTATGGTTGCTCAACTCAACTCCTCGTTGTTAATTGTCTCAGTTATCTCTCTGGCTATTCCTGCAGCTTTCGTAAGTTCCTCTATGTTAGCTCGCTGATGTGCACCTCATAGTTCTCGTTAGCATCAATACCTTGAGAGTCGTCTCCCTGTCGGATCGGAAGTTGGAATTTTGTTGGAACTTAGTCGTGGTAGTGCGATCATCCTCATCTTGATGTAAGAATCGCTATTCCGGTTACTCAAACAACGTTGTAACCTTCCTTCATAGCTATTTCTTCTACCTCTTTTTCCAGTTCTACTCACACAACCATCTTTTCCTGGACACCGTTCAAGAATACTCGATATCGACCCGTTCGAGTTCGCCTGGGTCCAGCCTCAGCCGGCGTTCAACCCAGCAAACTCTGCCCATCCCAGTCGTGATGGAGGACGCGTGTTCCTCGTCTTCTTCCTCGTCTTCATCGTCCGGAGTCGAGGTGCCCAAGCTCAACATGCCCAGCGCCCTCCTGCTCCTCTGCGCCATCTCGGCCTTCGCCTACGTCACCGCCGACTTCCTCATCGACTCGCTCGAGGGTCTCGTCGAAGCAAATCCCAGCATCTCGAAGGAATGGGTCACGCTCATCATCATCCCCATCCTTGGCAACGCCGCCGAGCACACCACGGCCGTCATCGTAGCCAGCAAGGGCAAGTTCGACCTGGCGATGAGCGTCGCCGTCGGCAGCTGCATCCAGATCGCCATGTTCGTGATACCCATTTTGGTCATGGTTGCGTGGGGTATGGGCAAGCCGTTGACACTCCTTTTCGATCCACTCGAGACAATTGTTCTGTTCCTAACTGTCGTCGTCGTCAAGTTCTCCGTTGAGGATGGTAAGACCCACTGGATGAGTGGGTTGGTCTTGATTGGTAAGTCACGATCCTTTTCTGGAATAATTAACGTTGTGTTGATGTATCACGGCAGCCGTCTACATCCTCATCGCAATGGCGTTTTGGCACTTCCCCTCCGACACCGTCAGGATTATCCAAGGCCAGCCTTTGCAGTGCATCAAGTAGTCTTCGCTTGCCCTGACACTGACGCTTGATGGCCTGCACTGCCATATTCTTTCCTCTATCTTCGTTATGCCTTTCTTACGCTTCATTTCTACGTCCTTCCCATGTTCCATATACGATAACGACGATGCATGTCCTGGAGAGACGATTTTTATCTTTTCCTTTCTTTCATTGTGGCAAAACCAACGTTGACAGAGGCCATGTTCGCGGTCGACGTTAACCACTTGTTGGATGGTTGTAAAGTAGTGATCTGCTCGTTGTGCACTGATCCTGTCTGTGCGTCCGCTATCCGTTGTTGAATGTCCCATGTCCTGTTCACGTATCGACGACCCTTTCTTCTGTATACTCGAGTAACTTGCTTGTAGGTTTCGAATCGAATGACTTGATTTTTTGGACTTGACTGATATTTAGTACACCCATGGATACTTCTCGCGAGTTGAAGGCGTGTACAGGTATCTAAATGAACGCAGGAAGGATGAAAAGAAGCAAGTTCCTTCCTGCGTGTCAACCGAGAAATGATGAGGACGATCGATATGCCCAGGAGCATCGGAATATGGTTTACCGTACGAAAGACAGAAATATGTGCAGAGGGACCGTCATCGACGCAGCGCCCCTCTCGAAGATAAGAGCGATGAAAATGGTGTTCACCAACATAGGCAACGCCGGGAGCTCTGGCAGCAGAGACAGGGCGACCTTGTACTCCAGGTCGTAGGAATAGACGCTGGAGGTCAATGATGCCTGCGGAGAGCACGGAGAGATATCTGAGCGTCAGGTAAGTCCCGACTCCGAGGAAGAACATTCCGGATCCTATAACGCGTTATAACGTTAATTACCGTTGCGAAGGCCAGAGAGTCACCCAGAAACAGTACAGCCATAACGGCGAGTTGGCTAAACATCAGAGCTCTCCCAAAACCTGCCAGAATTCAGGTTGTTGATTGACCGCCGTCTATCTTGCCTAGTCATTCTCGGCTCTGCTCCTGCTTGCACATGGGAAGGGGAGCATGTATGAAACTGGTTCTTGTTAGGTTGCAGGCTTCCCCAATCCGCAGTCACTTGAGTATATCTTTCATCTCACCGATTAAAGGACTTTCTTTCTAACTGAAAGTATCCCCTCTTATCTGAATATAGCAATTCTGCGCCACATAACTTTAGCCGGCACCAGTTGCACGGCCATATTGGAAGCATCAAGAGGCGAGAATCGCCGATATAATATTATCTAAAGATAGAGCGAAGAACAGAAAATGACAGAGTTGGGCCTTTCCAGCATCTCAGAGGCCTTTTCGAACTTTTCCTTCAGCTCCGCGTTACCGATGACTTTGGCCGCCTGCGCCATCTGGCGCAGTAGCTCCCCGAGCCGTCTGAACACACGGATGAGGGTGCCCTCAAACTGGTCGGTCAGCTGGAATACCGAGCGTAAGTGATCAAAAACTAAATGACGGGCGTAAGGAGGGCCTACCTTGAATACATCAGAGAAGGAAGCTCCGCGACACCACTGCACGACGGCATCCATGAGCTCGACCTTGAATGATTGCACATACTCGTCCTCCTCAATGGCAAGCTTGGACTCCTTGGATACTTTCGCTATGCGACGTGCAAATTCCTGCATGACACGGAGCGGGGCTGCAAGCTCTTCCTTCAGCTTCGTCGCTTGTTCACTCTGAAAGAAAGTGAGATCTGTAATCAACAAGACAGGAGAAACAGACCTTCTCAGCGAAGACGAAACAGCTCAGCAACGCAGCACACTGCTCTGGCGCCAGTGTACTAAACACACCGTTAAATATAAGCTCCGTCAACAGCAGCTCGTCTCCTGTACTGATCTCGCACGCGACACGCCCTTTCATGTCGACGATGTCAGCGGAGGTAGTAAACCCTAATCGGCGCAGGACGCGCTTCCGGCACTTCAACTCTTCAAGCTGCAGCACGTCGTGCGTAGTCTGCATCCGTTTCTTCAGGTTCCTGATCTTCTCTTGGCTCTCTTTCTTCTTGGAATAGAGGGTATAAAGCTCCGGTAGATGGGGGTCCTTGTGCAGCGGGCTCAAGAACATCTTCTGTTCCATCGCTTCGATTTTCTGCCATGACGTGTCAGCGTCGAAGTGGTTAAAGCACTCTAAAAGATACCTGGACAAGTTCCTTGAATTTTTCGTCCCTGATGTTCATGTTTTCGATGGGATCGAGCAACGGAATGCCATGGGGGAACCGCTTTTGGACTTCTAGAATGGTCTTCCAGACCGTCTCTCTCTCTTGGTCTGGACGAAGATCCTTGGGCAGATAGATACGCATGTGACTTATGCCATCAATGGTCGACAGCGTAACAGGAACGACGACTGGAACGCCCTTTTGACCTGGAGCACATGGTTGGATCCCGGCAGGAGTTGGCGTCGTGGACGTCTTGTTCTTTGAGGTCGTGGTACCAGGGATGCAGTTAAGGAGGACGTCGACCACGTACTGCTCGTGGGGCGGTATCTCCTCGGGCTTGGGAATCAATTTGTTCTGTGAGGCACTGGTCAGGGTGATTGACTTTCAAGTGAAAACCAGTGACTTGCTTTTGGTGAAACACGCTTCTCAAACTTGAGGACGACTCCCCACCCAAAGTCCAGTTTTTGATGCTTGACTTTGACCAATCGACCAACTTTAAGGAAGGGTAACACATAGGTGGGATGGGTAATCACTTCCCGAAAGTCTGCGGTCATTTGATCGAGCTGTTGCCGGTAGTCGTAATATTGGGACACCAGCAATTCATCAGGAATAACTGTCGAGCTCCGAAGCTGTTCCTCTTGCTTGAGCTCTAGGGAAGAATCAATGAGCACTCAGCAGCAAGTCTTCGCTCTGACCACGCACCATCCTCCAACATGGGAATGCCCGCACTGCGCTGGAACTGGAAGAAACAACGCTCCAACATGTATTCAGGACTGATTCCCTCCACTTTCATGAGGTTCAGAATCATGTTGTACCCAAGGTGGAACGCCGAATCCAGTCGATCAGCCTGGCCCTTCACCATCTCCTTTGCAGCCTGCGGTTCCAGCTTCTCGTCGCACATCATGATAACAACACCCCGGTCATCCAGACCTCGTCGACCAGCACGACCAGACATCTGGATGTATTCGCCCGAAGAGATATTTCTGAAGTCCTTGCCATCGAATTTGCGTGTTGCGGTGAAAACGACGGTTTTGGCAGGCATGTTGAGGCCGATGGAAAAAGTTTCGGTGGCAAACAGGACCTTGATGAGGCCTTCTTGGAAGAGAATCTCGATGACTTCTTTGAGAATAGGAAGTAGACCACCATGATGGACGCCGATGCCGCGGCGGAGGAGGGGTAGAAGGTTGGTGATTTGAGGAAGAGCACGATCGTCTTGAGAGAGATTTTCTATCGCGTTGTTGAAGATCGTGGTGATGAGCTCTTGTTCCTCTGGCGTCGTGTACTCGGCTTTAGTCAACGTCAGCGCGAGCCCTTCGCACTCTCGTTTACTGAACGAGAAGACAATGACCGGATTATAGTTCTTCAGCATAATCATCTTGATTATTTTAGATATATCAGAGGATCCTAAAACCTCATCAGTTCGTGGAAGGGGGTTTCAAAAGAAGAGCATGCCTTTCTTATTATCACCGCCTTTTCTTGTTTTCCCTTTTCTTCCTTTTCCGCCTTTGGGGTCTGCAGGATCCTCTCCCATGTTTTCCTGAATCTTTGCCATCGCCTTCGCAAACCTATCTTCCAAGAATTCTCCTTTTTCATTGACGACAAGATGGATGCCGTCATCGCCAGCAGGGAAGAGATAATGTTGCAACGGCGTTGGTCGGAAGTCGGTGTAGACGACATGACAAGGCTGCTCATGAGATTTACATATCCATTCCGCGAACTGCATGGCATTCGGGATGGTCGCAGAGAGGAAAACGTATCGCACAGTGTGCGGTAGAAGAATGATCGTTTCTTCCCAAACAACGCCGCGCTCCTTGTCGCGCATGTAATGGATTTCATCGAAGATGACCCATGCAACCTCGCGCATGATTTCAGAACCCCGATACAGCATAGACCGTAAAATCTAACGAAACGCTGAGTTGCGCAGAACTACCAAAATGGTTATGCTGCTTACCTCTGTGGTCATAACAAGGCACGACGCAGAAGGATTTATTGTTACGTCTCCAGTCATGAGGCCAACGTCCCCAAATTCGGCCAGCATTTCGCGGTACTTCTGATTGCTCAGGGCCTAGAGATTTTAATGTAAAAACTTCAACTGCGCGACATTCAACGAATAAGAACCTTGATGGGACTCGTGTAAATGACTCTCTGTTTTCTATTGAGACATTGAGCGATTGCATATTCTGCTACGACCGTCTTTCCGGCACTAGTATGTGCAGATACTAGCACACTTTCATTCCTTTGAATCGCGTAGACCGACACCCTCTGGAATGGATCCAATTCGAACTTATACTCCCGATCCGGTTTGGCTGGGGGGACATGCTTCGAGATGGAAATATAGTCGTAGCCCGGAGGTACTGCGACTTGATGTCGGACCTAACATGCTTTAGGACACAAAACCGCAGATAAAGAGTAATGCGTAGGACACACCTGATGCCTCAATTCCAATCGACTGGCACTGTCGGACGATTCGTTCAGACCTGCGCCAACAGCAACCTCTCGTTTCGCCTCCGTTTCAAAATCGTCGAGCACTACAGGTTTAGGAGAAGATATTCTTGGCTTCTTAGGAGAAGAGGGACCCGCGTCAGCTGGTTGGTTTCCGGAGTCCTGCGCATTGCTTCGAGTCGAAGGTGGAGGTGTGTCGGCTTTTCTTTTCTGGGGGATCTTGGATTCTTGTCCAGAAGAATCAACCTGCATGGGTTGCTCATTGTCGCTTTGGTCGTCTACCTCGCCACCGAGGAAAGAGAATAGGTCGTTAGAGTCCATCGTAGAAAATATTTGATAGCCCTGTCACTCATCGTGTGACTCTCCGCGTTGCTTATGGCATCGACTTTGGCAGATCATGCATGTCGACAGACCTCCCACTGACTCTTTCCGGCGTGCAACGCCTCTGTCTCCCTTGTAGGAGTGTTTTCCATGAAGATTGCTTTCCTCGATACTCAACGTCGGTACTACACAATGCTACCAACGTTCAGATAAGCAGCGACCATTCCAACGCGATCACTGGGGGTAGGTGACTAGTCTCAGCCATTTAGGAACTGCGTCTGGCTGCAGGATTGGATCTAATTCGCGAACAAAGCTCCCTCGACGCCTTGCTTGACTCCAATGAACACTATGACACCCCACGCTGTGATGAAGACATGCGAGTCGCAATCATACAAGAAACAACTTGAATGGACTGGATTGACAGCCAGGAAAAGTCTGCCTCCATGATGCTTCTCCATGGCCCTGCTGGAGCTGGGAAGTCAGGGTTAGAGCAGTCAATAGCAGAGAAATGGTTGCTGGAGGGTCGTCTGGCTGCCAGTCTCTTCTTTCCGAGAACGACCCTCGATCGAAGTAACCGAAACTCTCTTATCCCCACTTTAGAGTCCGTTCGGTTGCCATAATCCATCCCTCATCAGCTTACCGGATTGGTCTAGGCGACGGGGAATTTGATGACCGCCAGCATTCGGCCCGTCGTCGGCGGGTGCCTGCTCGCCGTCTCGCACAGCGAGCACAGAAAAATACATGTTGTATCCCAACTTTCAAGTGCCATCTCTAGTAAATTGACCATGAAGCCCTCCCGAGAACTACTTCAGGGACGTCATTGCTGAAAGCTCCTCAGCAATGTCATAAATGGTCAAAGTTTGTCAAAGAGTTCAGGTATTGTGGAAAAGGATAGAGTGATTTCACGAAGAGCAGGCATCTTTAGAGAGTCTTAGTATATGTATTAGAGCACTCGTACAAAATTTGAACTAATATCATGGAAAAGTGACCAAGATATCCGTGCTCGCTGTGCGAGACGGCGAGCAGGCACCCGCCGACGACGGGCCGAATGCTGGCGGTCATCAAATTCCCCGTCGCCTAGACCAATCCGGTAAGCTGATGAGGGGTGGGAAGAGACCGGCTAGCCATCAATAATCATAATCCAGCTGGATTATGGCAACCGAACGGACTCTTAGTCTACCAATTGGCCCAGATTTCTCCTGAATTGCGGAGGGCTATCGTTTCTCAGGATCCAGGTATACTCAAGATAACCCGCAAGAAGCAAATGGAGATGTTGTTCGTTGGTCCCCTTCTCCCGGAAAGACCCTCATGGTGGAGGTACTTCCTTCATCACTTCACTTCGACCTCGAAATCTGTCAGCAAACTACTGCCAAGATTGATCGTTGTGGACGGCCTCGACGAATGCAACGACCCAGAAGTTCAATGTGACCTGCTTCGCGTCATCGCATTCGCTATTTCCCTTCTCCCGTTCCCATTCCGATCTCCTCAGCTATAACATGGGAGTTCTGTCGTCGCAAGTCTCAATTCGCGCAACATGGCAATTTATGGAAGCCATTGAGAACGCCTTGTATCATCTGGTCAGCAATTTCACTGCGGAGATAAGTAAGTATTGCGTGACCCGAGTTAACAGTATTACACAAAAACCTGGATGTACAAGTATTCTTTGGATAAGTGCTATGTTGGTATCAACGAACTGAGAATGAGATATCAAGACGGACACAGATGCGGTGCCATCCATCACTGTCCTGGGCCCTTCTCTTTCGGTTTAATCTTCACGCCGATTAGCTTCGGTTTGGAAGGACGCGCATGGGTAGTCAAACCGCTTGCAAGAGAGGGCGAGCTACAGCCAAGCGGTGGAGTCCCAGATGACCGGACTTGCGGAAGAAAGGGTAGCGAAGGGAGAGAAGGCTTCGATCTTGGTGCAGCAAGAGGATTGATCGGTGAAGGGCGTTGGACATTCAAGTGAGGAGGGAGGGGCTGAGGAGGTTTCGCAGGTAGAGAAGGGTGGTAGGGTAGAGATGAACTAGCGGATGGTGTCAAAGGCCGATCCGTAGTGTTGGCATCGTCCAGAGGTGAAGAGGGTTTCGAGGGTTTGGGATTGGTGCTCTCCATTTGTCGCAGCTTGGCCTCCATCATTGAAATCTTGTCGGCAGTCTTACTATCAATACAAAGTACTGTTGTTAGAGGGGGATCCTCGTGAATAGAATTAATGGACACACCTTTCATGCCTTCCTGCTCCAGCAGCCTTTATCATGCTAAGTGTTGTCGGTCGCCCTGTTTCCATCATCGCCTTTCGATTCTTCAATGTGGACGGTAGACCTGAGCCACTATACTGGTCCAGCGGCGCTTGGTGGGCAAACTTCACGGTGATATTCCGGCCACGCAATAGCTTTTCATGCGCCATTGTGAGAGCCTTGAATGCATCCTGCACGAAATGAACGATTAGAGACGTCCGTCGTAGGCTTCGCGAGTTGGAGGAGAGAGCGATGCTTCACGTCGGGGGCCCGGCCTCTGCCACAAAGGGTTTCAGCTTGTCCAGCTAAACATGACCCCAAGGATTTCGCGGATAGTTATAGCCGGGACAAAGCGAGCGCAACATGAAAACGAAGTATGGATGAGCAAGAAAATCTCGACGAGAGGGGAATGAATGAGAGACAACGAACTTACATCCTTGTTTCCGTACTCGATGAATGCGTATCCTTTGGGCTTCCCCTTCGATAACCCTGTTTTGTGAATGGGCATGTCGACTTTGGTGACTTTGCCAAATCTCGAAAAGACTTTGATGAGCGTGGATCTAGCGCATCACGATGTGTGAGGTTGGGTAAAACGGATGAGCGAGGGACATACTCGTCGACGGTCGGTGCTAGATTCCCAACGAAGAGCCTGTCTTTGAGCAACTGACGCGCATTGTCAACAGGGACTTCCTCCACCGGGTCCTGCTCGTTGTCCAATTGAGGGTAGGTGAGGTGACCGTCTCCGGTGTGTTCGAGATCGTCCAAGGTAACGATAGTGCTCGTGCTCATGGTCAAAGTTCAAGTGCAACATTGAATTTGGTGGAACTTTGAAGCTTATGCAGGGCAAATGACTTCTGAGACTGTCATGCTCATTATCCCCTTCTTCATGCAGCATTAATGGGGTAGTGGTAACCTGGGTCGTTGCCATTCGAGCAGTGAGCTCGACCCGCCGGGGGTTCGATTCCCCCTTAATGCAATTATTTTTTTCTTTCTGTGACGCAGTGGGAGAGACCATCATCATTAGGAGAGAATTTTCAATCTTTTTCCTTTTCAAGCACCCTGTTTCATCTGAAGCAAAAAAAGACCAGTGTACAAAATGAAGTACATAAAACACAAATCTATGAAGCGACCTTTACACCACCCCAAGCAACCTTTGGCCCTCCACTCCGTTGTGCTCGATTTTGTGGCGCCTGTGCTTCTACTGTTGGTGCACCTCCAGTGGGAGCAGCCGCTCCTGACTTCGGCGGTACGGGGAGAGGCGTGTTCTTGAGATCATCTAAGATCTTCTGTGTCCGTTCGGTATTTTTGATAAACCAGCCAGCGTATCTCCTTCCAACAGTGGATTCCGCAATGTGGACCATGTTCTAGGGTGAACCCTATCAACACGAAGTCACGAAGAAACATCATCTTAGGAACACTTACCTCGTCAATGGCGAAGTTGAGATCACTCGTTGTGATCATCTGCCCATCCAGCAAACTGGCCCCCTCGCTGCCAGCAACCCGGCTAATGCTCCTGCTTGCCTGCTTGAGGACCATCATCTCTTGCACGAGCTCCTCCTCATCCGCGTCTAGGAAGTTGGCAAGTTTCTTTGCGCCGAGGCTAGTGTAGAGCTTGAGGAAACTGCGGAGGGTCGGGACGGGCAGTTGGGCAGCAACGTCGGCGAGGAAGAGATCAACGTGGCGGCGGGTGGCAGCCGTCTGCAACGAATTTGATTCTTGCTCAGAGCTTGCGGCGAAGATCGCCTCAATGGCCGCCGGATCCTCGTAGGGAGGCGGATTTGCGGCAATAAATTTAGGGCATGCATGCAGGAAAAGCTCTTCGAAGGCTGACAAGGCCTCAGATCTGTTTTGGTCTCAACAAACGTGCAAGGTTGGTGTATTCGAGAAATGCTTACCCGCCACGAGCGATCTTAGCGTATTGTTCAACAAACCGGTCCTTCGCTGTGTTTGCGATGGTGTCGTCAAGTCTCGTCGGAGACAGAGCATGGCAGATGGCAAACAACGAGTACATCCTATCCGCGGTTTTGCTGATCTGCATGAGACTTGGATTAACAATGAAGTCAAAGTCACTCGAAGACGGATAATACCTGATCGTATTGGTAACTCCGGGTGTGGTATTGTCTCATCCGTTGGATGAAGTTGAGGATTGTCACAAATGTCCGAATCGCATCAGGATATCGGCGCAACATAATGTAGCAGAAGCCGACGTAGTAGTAGGTTGCAACATGGCAAGCTGTCACTCTTGTGAAGGGTGACTGTAGAGACATTCTTAGACACGATATGCATTCGAGGACTGAGGCCTGAGGTCGCTTACCTTTTGGTTGAGTTCAACATTTTCCATTACTTTCAGGGCGAGGGTGAAGTCTCCAAGATGGACATGGACTCGAAGCAGGCCGACAATGCTGAAGTAGCCGAGCATGCGGTATAGAGGGCGTTGACCATATTCGCCAACAATCTCACTGGACGAAAGGGCATGAGCATCACTACTGATCTGTACACACAAGCGTTACTGACGCAATCTCCTCAGGCGTTTTTCCTTCCCGTTGAGCGACGATGTACTCATTGATTTTCGATTTTTGCATCAAGGAATATAGAACATTGAGTACACTGTACGAACTCCAGACCTGGAGAAGTTTAGACCACGAAATACTCAACAAAAAGATCGACTCACAGGACCACCGTCTGCTAACATCATGAGCTCATCCTGCGTCTTCGTGGTCACCTTCGAGCGCCATGTGCAAAAGACTTGATACTGGTAGATAAATTCATCGATGATGTCCCAGAGCCACTGTTCAGGGAGTTCGAGCGTTACAGGTCCATCAGAGTCTGAAGAAAGGTCAGGATGTAGTAAGCGTGAAGGGAAAAACTATGCTGACTGAGCAGGTAGTTGAATAGCTCGCAGCTGTTTTCGTAGGAGTGGAAGCGGTCATCGATGTTGGGTTGCAGCCGAGAGTAGACATGACGGTAGTAGAGTTCGCGATACAGGATGAGGAATATCGGGTCTGAATGAGCGAAAAGGTGAGACGGTCTCTGACGCTTGAGAAGGGTCGACGCGTACCATCGTTAACCAAAGGCGCAATGAACTCAGCCTCTGGCCATTCCGTTTTCGCATAGAACTTTTCTGTATATTTGTTCCAACCACTCTCATAGGCAACCGTGATCTCCGCGAGGTTGTTGTCCAACACAGCTTGGTGGAAGTGTACTATGAACTGGGTTCAAAATGATCAGACGATCGCCGAACTTTCGTGAGCGACCATCCGAACTCACACTCTTCACGACGTCGGGAATCTGCGAGAAGGCCGCTTGTTGGGCCATATGCTGCTGCATCGCAATGAGCGTCGATTCATCGATCTGAGGCTGAGGTATGTGCGCTAGAATGCCCGTCCATCGCCAATGAGTTCCGCAAATGACAAGTAGTTCGTATCCTAAGACCACCCACTGTCTTCGTATGGCACATTTGGGCCGTAATTCCCAATGGCCATTGAGAGATCAACATCCTCCTCCAAGTCCTCGGCATTCCAGAGAGCGAGCCGTTGTTGCGCCATGGCGAGTCCGGCCTCGATGAGCGGAGGTGATGAAGGAAGAAATTTGAGTTCGGCAAAAGCCGAAACGAACGAAAACTCCTCGACCACGACGTGGGAGTTCTTGGGAGTTCCTTCTCGTGTCCTAAAGTGCATGAACGACCTTCTCTGGAGCTCACAGAATGCTGTATATTTCATGAATTCTATAAAGATTTGAGTACTATCCAGATGTCTGTGGACAAATTGAATCCTCTTTCGTCAAGCATTAATGGGGTAGTGGTAACCTGGGTCGTTGCCATTCTAACAGTGAGCTCGACCCGCCGGGGGTTCGATTCCCCCTTAATGCATCTTTTTTCTTTCCCTCCAAACTCCAGAGTCCAGTAGTCGCATAAATGCAGCCAAGATGCATTCAACGATTTGGTAAATAATCTGCTGTGCTTTTCCCTCCTTCAAGTCTGAAGCCCTCTAGTACGGTGTACTTTATACCGGGCACCTCCAAGATGGAGGGAATGTATTTTTTCCTGGTCAACCACGCAGCCGCAGTGCATAGCTTTAGAAAGTCAGCAACAAAAAAGGAAGGTGCGCCACACAACGCAGCTGAGTTCTTCCTGATTCAATAATTACCCATCATTTTAACGTGAAACACCCTCATTTATAATCACGTTACATCCAGATTTAACACGCTATTGAGAATTCTATAATCCTGACTTAGTACTTGGGGTAGAAACTCTCCCAGCCGAGCTGCTCGTACGTCCATCCCCAAACCTGTCCAGTCTTCTCGTCACCCTTGTTACAGATTCTCTGTCCACGGTCGAGATGCCAGATCTTTCCAAGGTCCTCTTCCGAGATGGCGGGAATCTGTGGAAACCCAGACAGGGTCAGAAGCATTCTTCACTGAAAATGAAAAGACGAGCAAGGAGCGCACCGTGATATTCTCTTTCTGCCTCTCGCTATTCTCGCTCTTCGGAACGACAATAGTGCCCCGCGACAAGTGCCATGAAAGGATAACATGGTTCGGGGTGACCTTGTACTTCTCTGCCAAACCGACAATGAGGGGATCGTTTCGGACAATAGCATAGCCTGCTCGAGATTACGAGTCAGATATAGGCGGATCGCGCTGGGGCTGAGTGTTCTCACCGCTGGGAGTGTAGGCAGCGACGAGGATACCCCGCTTTTCGCAGTAATGCCTGAGCTCGTTGCTGGCCAGGTACGGATGCAATCTAATTTCTACTGCGTCAGATGAAGTCGTCTCAGATAGAAGTGTGTGCATACTCGACTTGATTCACTGCGGGTGTCACCTTCGCTGTCTTGAAAAGTTGCTCGAGCCTACGGATCCGTCAGCGCTCGCATGATGCTCAACCTCAAGGGCGAAGCTTCGAATAGCCTGGAAACTCACGTCTTTATCGAGAAATTGCTAACGCCAATCGCTTTGACTTTCCCCGTATCCAGGAGCTTTTCTACTTCTGCCCACACCTGATTGAAGTTGACTTTGTCCGTGGTTTTTACCGTTCCATCTGGGTTCACCGGAATCAGGTTGTCTGGCTCGTATACAACAGCCTGAGGCCAGTGGACGAGGTACTAGAGATAAAATAACCATCGTGTAAGTAATTCTGTGCAGCGGCCACTGCGTAAAAACAGCCTACCAGGTCAATGTATCCTAAGCCCAGGTTGGCAAGACTCTCCTCGAACGACTCCCTGACTTTCGCTCCGGCATTCCACCTGCATATTTGGGTAAGGTGTCAGGAAAGGCGTAAATAATAAGGGCATGAATCGATGTGCACGCACGGCAACTTTGTGGTAATGAATATCTCTTCACGGGGAATACCTGACTCCCTCACGGCCTCGCCAACGGCCTTTTCCGTTCCTATCAAGTTCGCTCGGAATCGAGCAGTTGGAGAAATTTAGCTAGGAGCGCTGCGTACCATACATGTGCGCCGTATCAATGTGTCGGTACCCATTCTACGTGCCAAAATCGGTCTCGTCAGCAACCAATTCTGCCATTATCGTCGTGCACACCTGGAGTGACGTCAAGATCCAGCTCTTCACCCTGTGCTGCTGTTCAGGAGGGGCATATGAACCGTTCGCTATGCATGGGAAGATAATGATCATCTGTAAGAGGGAATTCCTGAAACGTTGGAGGTTAGGGTAGTCTACTTACCAATGATGGGATTTCAGCCCCAGTGTTGAGTTTGAGTCTGAGATTAGCTGGGCTCATCTTGTAAAGGGGATGCAAGAAGGAAGAACCAAGGGACGATTGTGTTTGGAGTGAAGATAGTTTTCTTTTCTATCCCCAGCCTTTATACCACCTTCCTCCGCTTATTCAGCCGTTGCGCAATTCTTGTCTTACTCATCCTCGCGAGAGTTATCCCATTCTTGGTAAGCAACTGTGCGAGAATCGATAAGATAATGCCACTCGTTTTTGCCGATATTCTTCTTCCAGGCCATGACGAAGCCAGCGGCCATCATCCTCTTGCGATTTATGGGCCTCGCCACCCAAACTCCAATGGGTTACGGGGCTATTCCTGTACGCTACAAATTGCGTTAAGAACGTCTTATAAATCAGATATGCCAATGAATCTTACGCAGTCCTCGAGGAACGCCATTCATCCCGCATTGGCTGTGCAGCCTGTTTGTGCATGCCATGCCTATGCAGGCATTCCTTCCTACTCTACAACGTCCAGATCCGTGAATTTGACTGAGAGGGCTTCACACTTGGCTTTGGGAATAATATTCCTTTCTTGCGAGGAATTTGCGGACGGCTAAACAACCTATATTGAACGCGGAGATACGACCAACCCGGCGTTTAATGTTGCGAGCGCCTTGACATGGCCTAATAAAGTTGACAATCAGAAAGGAAATTGCGCCACACGGTCAAGCCTAGTCACTGCACCCAGCCTGATCTGATGGAATCATCACATACAAAGTCCACTTCAAATAACGAGAAGGTACACGTAAGGCTATACATACATTCCATTTTCCGATTCACTGCACAGGCTCAAAGCTTGGGGTGAAAATCCTCCCAGCCAAGTTGCTGGTAGGTCCAGCCCCAAACTTGCCCAGTCTTCTCATTCGCCTTGTTACACAACCTCTGTCCGCGGTCAAGGTGCCAGATCTTGCCCAGGTCTTCCTCGGAGACGGTTGGGATCTATGGAAGGTAAAACCAGGATTAGTGGGACGTGCGCGTAACTCATGAAAGAGAGAGATCGAGGGAAGAGCGCACCGCGATATTCTCCTTCTGCCTCTCATCATTCTCGCTCTTTGGAACGATTATCGTGCCACGCGACAAGTGCCACGCAAAGATAACTTGTGTCGGAGTGACTTTGTACTTCTCTGCGAGGCTTACAATGAGGGGGTCGCTTCTGACGGTGCCATAACCTGGTCTCGCGGACACAAAGATGACACATAGTGAGACGCGCTGGCAGGGTAAATCAGACGACGATCTTACCGCTGGGAGTGTAGGCGGCGATGGCGATTCCACGTTTCGCACAGTAGTGCCGAAGTTCATTGCTGGCAAGGTATGGATGCAACCTACGGTACCGGGTATTAGTAGAGTCCATGCCCCGAAACCACAGATGGTCATACTCGACTTGATTGACTGCGGGTGTCACATTAGCTGTCTTGAAGAGTTGCTCCAGGCTAGAACGTTAGATTTCGTTAGCACACACACGGCCCCAGTTCCAGAGCGACGAGGAACTTGAGACGTACGTCTTGATTGAGAAATTGCTGACGCCAATCGCCCTAACTTTACCCGTCTCCAAGAGCTTCTCCATCTCGGCCCAAGTTTGACTGAAGTTGAAATCATTGGTAGTCTTCACCCTCCCATCTGGGTTTCTAGGTGCGAGGTTTCCTGGTTCATAGACAACGGCTTGCGGCCAGTGCAGGAGGTACTAAAACGAAAATAACCACCGTGTGAGTTCTTCTCATGCACCAGCGAGGAGGTGTTAATGGGCGTACCAAATCGATATGCCCGAGGCCTAGGTTGACAAGACTTTCCTCGAACGAGTCTCTCACTTTGCCTCCAGCATTCCACCTGTTAGTTCGTGACACCCGTCAAAGAGAGGGTACATGGGGATTTGATAAGGTGTTTACGGACGGTAGCTTCGTCGTAATGAAGATCTCCTCGCGCGGGATACCAGACTCCCGAACGGCCTCACCAACGGCCTTCTCCGTTCCTGATGAAAGTATAGGCTCAATCAGAACCCCGAACTCTGGAAGAAGGGCGAACACTGCTGCGTACCGTACATATGTGCCGTGTCAATGTGCCGATACCCATTCTACGCGTCAAAGTCTTCCCCGTTAGCAACGATGTCCTTTGACTTTAATGGATCACACTCGATCACCCACCTGGAGCGCAGTCAAGATCCAGCTCTTGACCTTACCTTGAGCTTCAGGATTCGGAGGTGCATACGAGCCGCTAGCTACACATACGGCCACCCAAACGACGAGAAACTGTCAGGAACCTCCTGCAACCTTGAAACCGGGAATGCTCACGCACCGACGATGGGGACTTCGACGCCATTGTTGAGCTTCACTTTGAGGTTGCTTGGGCTCATTTTGCCGCAGATACTGGAAGCAGGTTCGACAAACGAATGAACGAACAATTGGGCGAAGGCAAGGACAGCGTTGATGGGTGTACTTCTCCGGTCCTTATACCTCCCGGGAAGCCGACATGGTGTCGTCAGCGACTCATCGTCTTACTCAGCGATCTTTCGCCATCCTGCCATCATCTCTAGAGTCTACTGATTCTCGGGACCTTTGTCCCATGTAGGCTGTTGCTGTGGGTAAGAGCAGGTGAGAGCAAATGAATGAGAGCTGAGAGCAAGACAAGGCTCGACGTTGACGTTGAAGCTGAGCGCTGAAGTTTGATCACCAGACTCGACCAGGGCGATCACCATCCGCTTGGCAGTCGGGCCGATGCTGGTTGAAGGTGCGCCACACTACCAGCGAAGGCTCTTCTGGGGCGTGGTCTGACTGAGCTGCTACTGAGCACCTCTCTGCACCCTTTGATACGTGATAAAAAGTTTCAAAAATTTCGGAGTGCCTAGGGCAATCTCACTCAAGACAAGAAGAGTGTCCAACGCCAAATGCTCTTCCGACGCTGTTTGAATTCACATTGACCAATGTCCAAAATGTAGAAGATTCCAAAGCAAACCACCAACTACTGTAATACCTGGCTGGCACCTGCATCACTCCTTGCTTGCCTTCCTCTTCTCACCTCCATCGGCCTCCTTGTCGGGCCATATAATGCTCGCGACCTCAACGCTCGTCATGTCAGGGACCCCTTTCTGAATGTGTTCATACGTGAACTGAAATTTTAAAAAATAGAGTTTATAACATCTTTCGAATATTTTAATTGATGTTTTACTCACAGTTAACAATGCCGCAGCTTTTGGTCCTGCCTCCTTCCGCTGTTCTAAGAGCGATTCTAGGAAATGATTCCACTTTCCTGGCCCGCTTCGTTCCCGTTCCTCTTTGTCTTCTTTTTCTGGGACATTCAACCACCGACCTGCGAACCCGGGTGTGTTGGGCTCCTTCCCACCCTGGCCAAGGAAGTAAGCATGAAAGCGCCTCCCTGCTCCAAGGAGCTGCGCACACGTCGCGATGCGCATGGTGTCTGAGTTGTCGCTCCCCTTTCCGTATGCTCCACCTAAGAGGGCGTTCCATGCAAAGGAGGAATATCCGTAACCGAGGGCGAAGAGGCGTGCAGCACCCATGGCTGCGGTGATCCACCAGTCGAGTTTCCCCTCAGCGCCATCTGAATCGTCCTCGTCGTCTCCGTCATCTTCGTTGCCGTCGCCCGGCGCATCGCCAGGTGGGTTGACGAGGAATTCCTCCGTCCAATAGTAGGTCAAATCGCGAATCGATTCTGTCCACCCGCGCGCCTGCGCAACGTCGAATATTGCCAGCCAGACATCGTCAATAGCCGCTGGTTTGAACGCCCAGTCCATGCAGTTCACGAAGTCTCCGAACACGTATTCAGGATTTTGCTTGATGGATATGCCTGGAACCCCGTTGACTGTTTTGCCTCCTAGGAGATCGTTGAATCGAGCGACGATTATCTCGCGTGAGTACGGTTCAGCGACGAGAGCTGGCGCCCACAATTCTGACCAGGTGAATTTCGAGGAGTCGTAGATAGATTCTGGTGTTGGTGTTGGTGACATTGGAATGGGTGATTCGGGGTGCGATTGGCTGTAGACCCTTGGGTCAAGTGCAGTTACATGATATGTAACAAAGAGTCTTCCAAATCATCTGATTCACTATGGTTGTGGGCGACCAGAAGCTGCTGTCACTCATGTCATGGGCGCCAGTGATTGTTATCGGAAACGTGATGACTTGCATATCAGCGCTGATGCGCCCAGCGTGCGATGCGGTGCCCCTATCTATTGTGGGTCCAACAAATTCAATGACCACAATTCCATACATGTCAAAGTACAGGATCAGTTGGAGACTTTCAGCCATCCCTCCAGCTATCTTCAAGACATCGTCACTCTGCAAAAGCCTTCGTCGACTTAACCTCTAGTAAATGTCTTCACAGTGCCAGTTCAACTTGAAGATTTCGACTGCTACGAATCAAGGCGCGATTTAGAAAATGGCAGCTAATAATTAGTTGTGGGCGAACGGACCTTCGACGGAGTTTACCATGGGCCGGTTCTGATGTGACAAGCACCACTACCCACTTGTGGGGGAGTACACGACTAGAACAATGTACACCCCGAATGGATGGGAAATCGAATAAGAAGGGAATCTTTGCAAAGAGGAAATCCTGACAGCAGGTCTGCCCCCCTCCGATTCGTAGCTGGTCTACTCTGCACTTGCGTGTACAACTTCATACACTTATCGACCTTCAAATATGCTCATCGTGAACATTATCCTCCCCCTTCTGGCTCTTGCCGCTGCACCAGGCTTCGCCGCACCATTGCGAAGACACGTAAGATCAGCACTCAGTGTCCTCTCAAACCCTCTGACTTTATATATTCACATACAGCCAAGCCCTGAGCCATCATTGAAATCCACGGTCGATGTGACGGCGGTCAACGGGCGTCGCTTTCCAGCCTCTGGGGACCGCACGCAATATCATGTTGTGGAAGCTCGTTCAAATCAGAGCGCACAGAAAGGGATGAAACATAAGATGGGTGCGTACATCGTGTTATACAAGACCTATTGTCATTTAACGGATTCACTTTCGAAATAGAGGGACCACGGGGCCCACCTGGGACTATTGGCTTCCATCCTGTCCCCGAAAACCAAATATACCGGACTCAAAACGGCGTGGTAAGTGTTCGCGTTCTGCATATGTTCAATCACTCAAACCATTACCTCTCTCCTTCGGACCACTAGTACACTGGCAAGGAGATCAACAAGCACGCCGCACAGCTCGTCGCCGCAATCCCACATGCGGACCAGTTCAGCAAAAACAAGCGTCCGAATGGGTATCCCAAGCCTGGTACTGGTTTTGGAGCCGACGATCCTGAGAACCCATGGCCGAACAAGAATGCAGAAGGCAGGGTGTCCTACCACTTCCCCATCCACCCCAAAGCGTTCGGTAAGACGGTGCCCACGGGACAGGAAGGCAAGGCGGGGACCGACCGCCTCATTGGGTATCGTTCAGGTGATGACAACAAGCTGCACCTCGCTGTGTCATATCATGACACGAAGAAGCCACTTAAAGCTGCCCAATCTGGTCAGACAGCAGCAACGGAGCATCCAGCCAGCATCGCGCATCCCAAAAGCGCTAACAAGCTTCAGATCAAAGCGGCAAAGGCCAAATTTGGAGCGCCCCATGCGTGGAAACGTGTCAAAAAGCAAGCCTCTGCAGCGTGGAACAACACCAAGCAGCGGTTGAAGTTTGGGAAGAAGAAGAACTAGGTTCACGCATGTTTGAGAGGCTGATTTCGACACTGGAGAGTCTTTATGCAAACAATGTCATAGGCGTACTATCTAGGATCGATGACCTCCAATGGTTCAATTCAGTGCTGATTCTGGTGGCTGATTTCTGACGCCTCCCCACCGGGCCGGACCGCCTCCCCTAGGAGTAACTGCGCCACAATCCCGCGTATCCCCTTTTACTCTACTTACCTCGGCCCGCCCAATGGGGTCTTGGCATATTCAGTCATCTCAGTCGACCATCCCTCTTTTCCTCCAAAAAAAAAATAACCCTCATCAATTCGAACAACTCAAGCACATACATTACGCGTGTATGAAAAGCGTCCACCGTTCGGGTCATGTGTACCAAAAAAATATGCTTCTAAGTATGTACTATTATCAGTGCAAGTTCCAAGAAAAAGAGCAAGTCGTATGTGCGTGAGCGAATAAACTATCTGCATATCTAAGCGTGTGTGTATGTGAGTGGGTATCATCTACCAAGTCCGAGTCCAAGTCCGAATCTGCGAGTCCACCAAGAAATTAACAATTCACATGCATGTTAACGTTTATCCTTCACCCTCAGCCCTCCCAAAGCCCTCAAACCGCTAGCACTGAGTACCGAGTACCGCTCCCAACTAGCACCGCTCCCACATCTTCACATAATCCACCCTAAACGCCCTATCCTCCACGTTCGTCGGCCACGTCTTGCTCCATTCGTCCTGTGCGCGTGCGAAATCCCTCATCGCGGCTATGGGGCATGTTTGCGTCAGCAAACGTGTCCCTCCAAGAGGTAGAAAACAAAGGGAAAGGAAAAAGAGAAGGTACGTACTGAGACTCTCATCAAACCACGGCTTCCCGCCCACCCCATCGGGGAACCACCCGCTCGTCCCGCCGACGGCGAGGTTCATGACGAGGTAGAACTTCTGGTCGTACGGCGCTGCGTCCGTTCCTCCATCGCCGTTGGAAGAGGAGAGTAGGGGTTGGTGACGACGACTTGGGAGGAGCCGTTCGGCGCTGTGAGCGGGAAGCCGGCCTGTCATTCGTTTATTTATTTTCGCGTCAGCTTTCTCGTTCTCTCTTTTTCCACAAAGGAGAGGAAAGGGAAATAGAGAACCCACCTTATCCCAGAAACTCCTCCTCCGTCCCCTCCCAATCTCCACCTCGAGCATCGCGCTCGTTCTCCTATCCACGAAGACCCTGATGAACTTGGGGTCCCACTCGAGCGTGTACGTGTGGAACTTGTCGGAGTATGGGGTTCGTTTCGAGGACCACCTGTCCAAAAAGGGGGGGTGAGCGTTAGCGAGCCCTCCTCTTCTCCTACCCCCTCACCGGGGTGGGCGCGAGCCCTCCTCACCCTAAATAGGGTGGGATGGGACAGGAAAGAGAAAGGGACCCACCATCCATATATCTGATTAACCACAGTAGGCAACGGCCCATAACTCAGCCCGCTCCGCACATAATTCGCCCCCTGCGCCCCATACTCGATCCCATTGCCCCTCGCCTCCATTATATCGATCACGCCCGAGGCAGGCCACGGCCCGTAGGCGTCGTCTTCTGGGAGCATCCATATGGCTGGCCAGAGCCAGTCCCTATAATTCACATTCATTGACACGCGTCAGCATCAGCCCTTTTCTTTGGGGGAGAGAAAAGGGAAGGAAAGGGAGAGAAAAAAGGAAGGAGAGGAAGGAAGAAAAACCAAAGAGCCTACGCACCCCCTAGCCAACTTAGCCCTAACCTCCACCCTCCCAAACCTCACGCTCTTCTTTCCCTTCGTGTTGATCCTGGCGCTCATGACAGGGTTGATCGCCGTCCCGCGCACCGCGCTGGAGAAGGCCGTGCACGCGTTGGTGCCTCCGTTGGAGGAGGTGGCGCCGTTGGATGAGGTGGAGTTGGTACTGTTTGTGTGGACGACGGGCGCGACGGTCCCGGTACATCCGGGGAGGGTGTAGGAGCCGCCGTCGAGGATATTGTTGACCTATACGCCACAAAATAAAGAGATGGGTGGGAAAAGAGGGAAACAAGGGAAAGAGCTTACGCTATCACTCGTCAACGTAGGCACGAACCACAGCTCCCCATCCCTCACATACAAATTCTCCTCGCTCGCCGTCGTCATCTCGAACTGCCCATTGCCAAACCCGCCCAATTCTACATCTCTCGTCCAAACTCCTTCATCCAACCCACCTGCACCCCCACCACCTCCAGTAAACTGCTCATCCAACACCAAACACAAATTACTTTCATCCAACATCCGCCCTCTCACATCCTCCACGCCCCTCCAACAAAACATCCCGGCGGCCCCCAGGCCCAAACACACAAAGAGGAGCGTGAGGGCGTACGACCCCCGCGCGCCGCGTTCGGTCTTTTCCAACCATGGTTTGTCCGACTTGGTAAGAGGCGCGGGGAGGCGGGTGGATGGGAGGAGGGGCTTGGCGGTCTTCAGGGCGTGGGGGTGCGGGTAGGAGGAGGGGAACATGGGAGTGGTGGGCAGGGCGGTTGTGCTGGCGTTGGGCGACATGAGCGGTTGGTTGGACGGATGGGTGGCGGGGAGGGAAGGGGAGTTGAGGACGAGTTGGGTGTTGTATGAGGGAGGCGACCAGAGAGAGGAGGTTGGGCGGCTGCTCGGTGCGAGGAAGGGCGCGCGGAAGGAGTGTGTGCTTGCGTTCCTTGGGATCGTACTCGTCACTGGTGTAGTTGGCTCCTGCATACCAGGAGAGACGGCGGCGGGCATCATGTTCGCAGCTGCGCTCGCCTTGTACAGCGAGTTGCTCGAAGCTGAACGTGGGAGGCTGCCCGTGCTCGACGCCGAGTCTCGATCGCCCGCATTCATAAAAGGCGCGACGGGTTTACGGAGGTCGGTGAGAGACCCGGAGCGCGAGGACGAGAGCGCGAGGGGGTGGTACACCTCCCCTCCCATGGCGCTGGTGTTACTACCCGTCTGCGACACAAAGCCCACCGACACGTCCTGGCCATTCGCAGAGTCGAACGACGCGCGCCTGCGTGAGACGCCGGGTATAGAGAGCCCGGGGTCGGGGTTGCCAGGGTATGCCTGGAAGGGAAATGTAAACGACGAGGGCGGCGGGCGCGCTGATGTGCGTTGGAAGAGCGTGGGGGTCGGGGAGGACGAGAGCGCCGCAGCTGCTTGGAGGTCGCTGTAGAGCGACGCCGGGTCCCAGGTCGCCGAGTTCTGGCGGGAGGGCGGCTTCGGCTTGGATGCTTCTCCGGGTGCTTCGTCCCTATCTCTCTCCTTGTCCAAGGACGAGAGCGGCGCATATACGGCATGCGACATGCTCGACCTTTTCCTGTGCGTGCGGGAGTGGTACGGCGCAGCGACACCGGTGGTGGGCAGGCGCGAGGCCGGTGCGGGCTTGGTGGGCAGCTCCGGGGGCGAGTCGCTGTCCGACGCGGGGTCGAGGGAGGTTGTGTCGAAGGACGAGTTGGAGGACCTGTTCGTCTGGACGTCGGCGAGGAAGAACGGACGC